ATAAAAATATTAGGTTGTAAAACCAATACTTTAGTCAAAATTGAACTCTCGCTGTCGAGTTGTTAGACATACAAACCCAGCCTGATGGCAATTAACAAATTCATAATAGTCTACAAAGATCGCCTTTACTTTTTTTATAATTTTACTTATTCACAATGTCATGAACACTATTAATAAATTTTTGTGAATTTTATTAATAGATGGTCAATTAAAACACATATATTTTGATACAATTTGTTAGTCTTAAATATTAAAAAATTGCTATACGATTATGCAAGTAAAGCGAGCTATTTTTTATAGGTATTAATACTGCAATCTATAAATATTTGATTTTGGCCAGTTATTTATTTGGTGGGTTTATGAAACATCTGAAATGATGCCCCTAGATTGGACAGTCTTAGTACTATCAAAGATAATTTATTAAATTGTTCGAATACTTAGTACTTACTTGCCACAAGCAACGTTGCGCCGATGGAATGCCGTGATCGTCGGACAAATCGAGCGGAAATAAGCTGGTGAATATGGAACATTCACGGACATTGATCGACGGATTAAATTAACGGTTGGCTGTAGTGCTGCCAAACATAGTGATCTAAAAATTGGACAAAAATTCTTAAAATATCGTATTTTTTCAAAATATTTGTCTATAAGAATTTCCTATAAGATTGTATTTTCACTAAAAAAATCTAAGACACGTACACAATTTATTCCATTTACAAATTAAATATCGACTCATATGAACAATTCGAAATCTTGAAGCACAAATCTTCTAAATAAATTATCTGGTTCAACTAATTAAATACTAGCACTACTAGCGGAAATATTTTGAATAATTTTTTTATTGATATTTCTGAACATTTTAAGATGTTTACCACGAAATACGAATATTCATGATCTAAGACAAGGTTCTTCAAACTTTTTTATCTGAGGACCACATAAAATAAAAAAAACTTTTAGCGGGCCAAAATGTATGAACACATTTAATTTTCATATATAATTAATAAATTACAGCCAATACAACTAATAATTGCTCATGCGCGTGATAACGACTATGGAAACTATACATATTTTTAGAATATTTGCCGTTATTCGGCAGGCCGGTGAAAACTTATTCGGGGGCTGCATCCGATCCGCGAGCCGTAGTTTGGAGACCCCTGATCTAAGATATATAATTACATATTATAATTTCTTAAGCGTGTTTATGATACGCCATACACGTAATGGCGATTAAGATTATATTATATATATAACATATATGTCTTCCGTAAGTTTGTAAAATCGTAAAAATTATGAACTTCAAATGTTTATAACAAAAGTTTAAAGTTTCTGTATAATCTGTTTGTAGAAAAAAAAGATTCAATACCATTTAACCAGTAAATTGCCTAGTTATATTGAAACCTTTATCTATTGCTGTCTATGACATCTACTCTGTAATACAAACTACTCGCTAGGATAGATTCAAACTTAACACTCATGGTCTACTCTATATAGATGTAATGAAATTGAAAAGATAAAAATAATTTATTTTTATTCAAATAATTCATAGGTAGGTAAGTACATACTTATTCATCACGATATTTGATCGCCCGAGTGGCAAAATATTTGTGTTTAATAAAGACATTTTCTTACAAGCGTTGAACATGGCTTGACGTATTTGATTCATTGAATTAAAAAATAATAATAATAAGATAAAGTCAATAAATTAAAAATTATTCTTATTATAAGAAAACTTGTGTAAAATGTGTGTAAATTTAAAAATCGGTAATAATATATACAATTATCCATGGTAACAAAAAAATATTATAATTTTAAAGTATTTATACAACACTTTTTTTAAAGGACTTTATATATTGCCGGAACTTGTTTGAGAAAATAAAAAGTATTTTGAAATTTAGGTTTAATGATAATTAAGTTGTCCATTGTTAATCTGAATTTGTTTTCCACTATAATCTTTTGATTAAATTTAAATTTTCTAAAAAACCATATTAAAGACTATTAAACTCTAAATTAGCTATTTAGTGATTAAATTCCTACACAAGAGTAGTAGATAAACAATTACATACGTTAGTTCCTAAAAATTTGATGTATAAATTCTTATACGAATATAAAAATGAGATATGTAAGTTCCTACACAGTAAAAAAGAGGTACCTATGTATATTAGTTCTTACACGATAGACACAAGTACTTGGAAGTACTGCAGTACACAATATCATGTAAGTTCCTATTTGGCGAAAAAAATTAGTAAAAAAAAGTTCAAATATACATTAAATAATATAGATTTCATAAATAAATAGGTAATAATAATACAACTATGTTAAATTTTTAAGTTTCAGAAATAAACCTCAAAATTTAAAATAAAATCGCATTATACGACTTTCATTATCTACCTTGCCCGAGCCGTTCAAGACACCAACCCACCACTTCGCTATTTGTTTTGTTAAAGGTATACATAATTTCTTTTTCCCCAGTGAGCGGCTGTCCGGGGTTACGCAACGACTGTATTAAGTTTGCTTGGTTTTTATTGTGCGTTCTATTTTGTTAAATTATTATTCAATGTTATTAAGACGAAGCATACCCATATGTTCCTCGAGTTCTTTATTTATTCTTTTTTTTTCTGTCTTTATTATCTATTCTCAATTACCTATTTATCAGAACCAATTATAATATTAAGTATAAATAAAAATAAAATGTGCGACGCGGGTCGGATTTATGTCCGGCTGCGATCGGTCCGGCTTCAAATTACATCAAGGACATCCGTTTTTGGTTCTCGAGTCAGTTCTTGTGTGAGGTGTGAACGCGGAACAGTTTTGCCGCCAATAAGCTTGGCTCGGAACACCACAAGTGTAGCGGATATCGAAGCTCCCGGCAAGCTCCCCCTCCGCCGTCCAACGTCAGATCACCAGGCCGCCAGCCATCTCGTCGGCTGAGTCCTTTTAACTTTTTCCAACGGTTGAACCGAACGCAACGTCGCGCTCTTTCACCGCCCGTACGTGCCACCGCCAAACCTTGTGTGATCACAAGGTGCAAATTCGTGCCCGTCCGCTGTCGCTGCCAGGTCAGATCGTATCCGTAACCTTATACGTGTTCCGTAAACTGTATAGATACTAAATACTTATATGTTAAGTCTCTAATTTTTGCGGAAATAGCATTTGGGCCGTTTAGCGTTATACATATATATTAGTTATACATAGATATTATTAGGTACCTATTATGGGCGCTCACATATTATTTCCTAATTATCTGTTTCGTATAGTTATAATAAAATATATCTTGTATATATCTTGTACGTTCGGTGCAGCCATAAATATTGAATAAATCGGAGTTAAATTTATTCGTTTGTTTGTGCAACCCCTCCTGCTCCCGTCCACCACACAAAACGCGAGTCGTTGCCGACAAACGCATAATCGCAGGCCCGTACTAGTCCACCGGAACACCGGGAGTTTTCCCGGTGCGCCCCATAATCAATTAGTATCCCTCTCCCCCTTATTTTCATATTATTATAATATTTTTTATAGCATACCTATTTTATATGTGTGTATAAACAAATTATATGTTTAGTAATCATTACATCATTACATGCATGGGTAGGCACATTTATATTGTAAATAATTGTTTTGTTACCTATCATTTATAATATTATAAATTATAGAACCATAGAGGTGACTTGTGAAATTTAAACACTGAAATTGTTGTTAGACATGTAGATACATTGATAATTGCTTTTATTTCGGTTTATCTTTCATTTTTTTTATTTATTATATTTTTTTTTTTTTACATTACCATTTTAAAACTATGGAAAATAATATCGTCTCATTTATTCGTAAACCATATCGGGCATCGATGCGGTAGTCGTCATACGAGATATTTACGATTTACTTTCTGTAAGTATATATAAAATTATTTAAGAGATCGTTTTAATAAAATATGCTATTTTTGCCGTGTACTAATCCAAAATATATGAAAAATATGGTACCTAGTACCTACCTGAACTTCCTAATTGTATTTTAGTAAAATTATCTACCTAAGCTAAAAATCAGAAGTTAAATACCTATTGTTAATAAAAGATATTAAATTTTAATTTCTTATAAATACTAAAAAGTAGATATTAATCTAGCATGAAGGTAAGGCGACTCAGGCGGTCGCCTAGGGCACCATTCTCATGGCACGCCAAAATTTCCTTTAAAGTTTTATGCATTATATCAATAATATTATTTTTTTGAAAATATAAAATAGGTACCTATAACTTTGCACTGAAATGTTGATAACTATGATTATTTCATTTAGCAATAGATTAAAATAATAAAACTATTGAAGTATATTTTAAGTACATATGTCATATATGTTATGGTTTAAAGTAGAATGTTTATGGTATACATACATTTGTATTTCAAAAAATGTTATTTTTATTTTTGACTGCGTGAAAAATGTGTTGCAAATCATTGTAATTAATTAGCATAACGTGGAACACATTTGGAGAAAATACGACAAAGTTATGATACCAATGTGAACTGGGCACCATGAACTATGTTTGATATTTGTGGTCATCAAACTTTGTTACAAATTCCAATACCCGTGCTACAAATAATTTGTAAAATCTTGGTCAAAGTTTGGACTTGATCACACAAAGTTGGAATGCCAACTTCACACATTTTATTTAATGCCTATTGTTTGTAAATATTTAATATCTAACTTTCTTAGAATTCATAGCTGTAATGTGTGAACAAATTCCGCACGATACTACTGCACTGTCTTATGAAAATTTTTTTAGGTACTTTAAAGTATATAATATTTTGCATTTAAATTCAACTAACTTTTTTAGTTGGCATGTATTGATAGATATCTATTCTTTGTTATAGATATTAAAATATTCATTATTATGAGCTATAGCCTATAGGGTACTGAATTCAATTTTAATCAGTATTAGATAAATAATAATATAATTTCAATTCACTGGTTCTTTTTTTTTATTTTTCATTGATATCATATGATCTTACAATGATATTATTTCTATACAAAATTAAATTGTCTACATAAAGTTTAAATTATTGGTTGAACATTTTACAAATACATTTCATAGTTAATTGCCAGATTGTGGATTACGGAAATTTTTTCCAGCATACTTAGCATTGCTACCCAATTCTTCTTCAATACGAAGTATTTGGTTATATTTGGCAAGACGTTCAGAACGGCAAGGAGCTCCAGTCTTAATCTAAAATTATTATTTACTTAATTGTGAACAACACAAATATAAAGGATAGTATTGTCAAATTCTGACAATATAAAATTTATTGTTAATATATATTAAAAACTTACTTGTCCAGTACTCAATCCAACAACTAAATCAGCAATAAATGTATCTTCAGTTTCACCTGAACGATGAGATACCATTGTACCCCATCCATTCTTCTTAGCTAACAAATGTGCATCAATGGATTCAGTAACAGTACCAATTTGGTTAACTTTAAGCAACAAGCAGTTGCAAGATTTCTTTTCTATTGCTTCAGCAATACGTGTTGGATTGGTTACAGTTAAATCATCACCAACAATCTTTAATATTCACAATTTAAAATGTATTTAATATTGTAAAATAATAAATATTATAAAACCTAAACATTAATACTCTATTAGATAACAAATGAAAAGATTAATTCATCAGATATAGAATAAGGTGTAGAAATTGCTGCCATTAATTTTTTTAAGTAAATAGTTGTTTTTCCATAAATCTTATGTAGATATACATTTTTTCTAACATTTAAACTTATTAAGAACACTATAACTTAACCCTAGTTTATTTTAAACTAAAAATATAGTTAAAAAAGAATAATTTTGAGCTAAAGAAAATAAGTTTATTCTAATTTACATAAATTATTTCAAGGGTGTTCATATATTTTAAATATTATAAAGTAGTTGGTATTTAAGTTTGTCGTGTAACTTATTTAAATGTGCATAATTTTAGTTCTCAGACCGTATCATCTTAAGTTTATGTTTAGTATTTATAACTGAAATATTGAATAGGACATTGTTTTTATTTGCTGATTAACTATCATGATTTCATGATATGAAAATAATGATATAATTTATTAATATTATTTTGTTTGATAATACAGAAATTTAAACACTTGTTTAAAGTTAGTCAACTACATATAACTTAATAGTGCTCTAGTGTCAGAAGACAAATATTTATTACTGACTAATTTTGAGCTTAAATATTTTTATTATTTATAAATGTAAATTACAATTATAAGAAAAAAACTAAGAAATGATTTAAAAATTAAAAATATTATTGACAAATTTGTACAAAAATCTAGAAATGAATTTATTTTTAATTCATTCTTTTTTACTTTATAATAATAACGAATCATGATTTATTTATTTCATTTTTACAATGCTGCTATTATTTATACATTGATATGTCGATATTATGTATTAAAATAATAATTTTTGTTTTTAATTGATTTCATATTGGGCAAGAACATAACCAGAGTTGGAAACAAACCTGTTGGGTAATAAAAGATCCTTTATTTTGAAAATCAGATTGCAATATCTCAAATATCTTTAATGTTGTATTTTAAATCTTATTTTAAATTAAATTAACTAGTGGCTGAAAAATATGGGGAGGAGGCTTTAAAAGAAAAAATGTAGTGTTCACAAATTAAAAATTATCAAGTATTTCAAGATCTATTTTTATTTTTAATATGAATAACTAATTTGATAACAAATATACCTGGATGTCAGTAGATGCAGTAAGTGCAGTCCATGCTTCCCAATGATCTTGATCAAATGGATCTTCAATTGAAACTATTGGAAACTCTTTAATGAAATTTTTGTACAAGTCTGTCAAAGCTTCAGTTGAGATAATTTGACTTTTATCTTTGCTTTCAGACTTATTTTTGAAATCCAAGTCGTACTTTCCATCACTGAAATTATTATTGAAGTAATTCAAATTATAATAATCATATTCTACACAATTAAAGATATGAAAATATTAAACAAATTAATTAATTTACACATAGAATTCAGAAGCAGCAACATCCATTCCAATTACAACTTTTCCTTTGTATCCAGCCTTTTCAATAGCTGTTTCAATTAAGTGTAAACCTTCTTTATTTTCAAGAATATTTGGAGCAAAACCACCTTCATCACCAACTGCTGTGGCGTCTAATCCAAATTTACCTTTGATAACATTTTTTAGAGTGTGGTATACTTCTGATCCAATTTTCATAGCTTCAGTGAAAGAACTTGCTCCTATTTATAAACACATTTATTTAATATAAAGTTTAACACAGAAATTAAAAATTAAATATTTTCAAATGATTAGATACATGTGGTTCAATTAAAAAAAGTAGAGTATTTTAATTTATTAACAAGTTTAGTTAACTAATTGAAAAAATATACTTTATTGCTCAGTATTATTATATTACTATTTCAGTTCATTACCAGTAGGTAAAATCATAAATTCTTGCATAGCCAACTTATTTCCTGCATGTGACCCACCATTGATAACATTAAAAGCTGGAACAGGTAAAATAATTTCTGTATTTCCAGCTAAGTCGGCAATATGTCTAAAAATATCATAATGATTGAGACGAGATTTTAATACAATTGAATGTGTATATATTTACTTGTAAAGAGGAATGCCTTTTCTAAAAGCACCTGCTTTAGCTACAGCTAATGAAACTCCCAGAATAGCATTAGCACCAAGCTTGGATTTATTTGGAGTTCCATCCAATTTTAACATAATATCATCAATAGCTCTTTGTTCAGTAACTATGAGTCCCTATAGAAAAAATAAATTATAATATAATTTGTTATTATATCTTGAATCTTAATTTTTTATAATAAAATCAGAATAATTATTTTTTACACTCTGAGTGTATTTGTATCACAATGATGTAGTCGTAATTTTAGATTTTAGTTATTAAATAATATTTCAATTATTTTTGACATTTTAATACGTTTGTGTTCTTTTAAAATAATCTTAAGTTTAATACTCCCCAAATTTTGTTAATAAATTATACTTTATTATCATAAATTCACAAAGAAATAATTTTCAATGTTTGCAATTACTGTACAAATATGAATTTAATAATTTAATATTAACCATATTTTTTTCTAAACAAAATAAACATTATATTTGTTTTTTATTATTATTGTTATTATTAAATTAATTGCATTTTAATTATATTAAATTATATTTCTTTAGAAAAAATACTTATTTAAATTTACTCAGCTATTATTAAGAAGTTATTATTGTATGTTAGTTTAATAATAAATTTTTAATTACAGCTTTTATAAGAGCCGGTGCAATGACATCGTTAATGTTGTTAACAGCAGTTTTTACTCCTTTTCCGAGATAATTGCTCTTATCATTATCACGAAGTTCTAATGCCTCATATATTCCAGTACTAGCACCGGACGGTACTGCTGCACGGAAAACTGGTCCATTATCAATGGTCAAGTCAACCTAATTATTAAATAAATCATTTAGTATGTTTAGTTTGGTAACAGAGTTATAAAAATAAATGCTTACTTCGACAGTAGGATTACCCCTGGAGTCAAAAATTGAACGAGCTACAATCTTTGAAATAGGCATATTTTCGTTACAAGAAAATTGATTGCTGTTGGAAGTTTGCAAATGCCTAAAAACATAAATTAAATGATTGATTAATTATCATTTAAAAAATGTGTTAAGTGCTCAAATTGTTAATCAATTACATATTTATATGTCAATATCACAATGGTTAAATTTCTATACACTGGTATAAATTATAATATTAAATTATGACACAAAAAGTTATGAAAGTGATAAATATAATTTTAATTTTATATTATAAATCATTAATTAATAATAATCAAAATAGGTGTTTAACCCTTATTGAAAATTATAAAATGCTGCTAAGAAGATTAAATTTAAATTATATGTTAAACAAAATATGATAAATCTAATTTAGTAACCAAAAAAAAAAAATAAAAAAATAAAAATAAAGGATTATTAATAGGAAAAGGAAACATACAAACCTAGAAAGTATTAATTTTAAATGAGAATGTTGTTTGAAGTTCAATATATATTTTTTACAAAAAGGTACCATCATAAATAAATTTTGAATTCTGAGGACAAAATAATGAGAATTATATACATTAATATTTTATAGGATTAAAAACAGTTCATGTCTTAAAAATTATAATATAAAATATAGAACATACCCAATTCATAGGCAAGAGTTGTAATAATTGGTATATTTTGTAAACATATTGCATATTTAAGAATAATTTAATACTTTATACTTTATAACAAATGTTTTTTTATTTTTGTTTATTCTAAATATCAATTTATTATTTTAATAATTAAATAAAATCTTATAATAGTTATGAATAAAACAGTTTATTATTTTGTGTTTCTTCTAGCAATAAAATCTCTTATAACATTTCTAAAATTAAGAATATATTTTTTTTTCAAATAAATAGATTTGATATTATTATGTTATAATTTATGATACAAATATCCTATACTGGTTTTTTGTTAACATTTGAAAACATATTATTATAATTATTGTAGGTATAACGACAACATAATTTTAGTTATAACCTATCATTTATCATTCATATTTATTAAGCAAATTGATTTCTTTACCATCATTCATGCAGAATAAATATAAATTTAAATTAAATTAAAATATAAATGTTGATTTTATTAAACCAAACCATTATTATTTAATCATATTAAAAATAGTAGAGTACTGGAGGACCTTAAGGGTCTCATAGCAATCACTATTGTTTATGAAAATAAAATATTCAATTATTCAATAGAAACATAGACAAATACATAATAACACCTTGCACTCAAATAGGTTTTAATTTGCATTTTTTTTCCTTTTATTTTGTACAATGCTATCCTTGCTAAAAATTTGTTTCATGCTCCCTTGATGCAGAATAATGCATTTTTTTGTTTTTTTTAACCTCATTTTTTTTAACATTTTAAGTCATTTTTTCATCTTTAAGGGCATTCTTTGTACTTTTTATACAATGTGAGGCATTTTTCACAAATTATAGATTTTAGAGCAAATGTTACACAAAATATGTTACGCAAATATTTTTAATATAATTTTTTTTTTATTTATATTTTACTTTTTAATTTATTTTTAATATTGAAATTTATTTATAAATTATTTAAATGCTTCTACTATTACACCCATTATTATACCCATATCTCTAATAAAAATTATTATTCATAAATAAGTTTCTTCACTTACTTAATTAGTATTTTAGATAACTTTTTAGGTCATTTTTGTGTGTTTTTTAAGTCATCAACATCTTAACTCTAGTAATCACTAATCACCATGTAAAAATATCAAATACAAAAAATATTAACACAATAATATAAATATAATTGGCAGTTAATGAAAATCAAAAATTTAAACTACAATTGAATCAAGGTTGAAACTAATAACCTTGAATCACCTTGTTTTTCTACCTGTAACTATACTACTCAACAAAATTATCAAATATAATTAAACTAATTATATGAAAATTCAAACTTTAGAATTACAACATTCTAAATAATTAAGATTTAAGCTATAAATGTAATCAAAAATAAACACAAAAAATAAAGAACTATACTATAATACATATAATATAGGTTGGTTTAATAATACCTTATGTCATCGAAATATAAATATATTAAGTCTCATACCGGTACATATCTCTACAAAAAATATACAACCTAATTACCCAACATAGCTTAAGTTGAAATCAATTTAATCACAAACAAATTAAATCAATATTAATAAACACACTGTGAGAACATAGGTATCACAGTAATATCTATTATGGTAACTGGTAACTGGTATGTGCAAAAAAAAACATTAGTGCAAAATTAAGAGATATTTTTAATTTTTTATTCATTCAATGTGTAAAGTTAAGTTAGTGCCAGTGGCATATTTAGGTTTTTGTCATGGAAAGGGATATGACTTTATAAATGAAGATATCAATGAGAATATTGTACAATATATTATAATTTATAATATTTTAATTCTTGCAAATTTAATTAATTATTGATAAAAAAAAGAAAAGAAAAAATAATAATTTTTTAAGTAATATGATAACTATAATTATTTGTGTGTATACAGCCTATGGATGGGATTTATCTCTGATCCCCCCGTTAGTGTCATGAGTGAGATAATTTAAAGATTATGATCTAAGGTTTACAGAGATCGTGGTGAATCCAAGGTATTTGGAGACGAAATATCATATTATACAAAAATATTGAATAACCTAGGAAATTAAATATCAATATGATATTAGACAATATTTGGACAAGATTGTAGTGATGAAGCTAAATTATGGATAATCTTAATGATATTAGAAGTAGTTTATTGATCTATTATAATATTCGGATACTTACTGGCGGATGGTAACACGCCAATGAATGAAGTGACATCAAGTATCGAACAGAAATTTAAAATGTTTATACTGTAAAGTACTAAGTATACCTGTATAATACTATAACATGGAAAATTAAGTAAAGGGAAAATACTCTGGCTATAGTCACGGACACGAAAAATTAGTGTTGATCTATACTCTTTAGGGAACAGAGAACGTCGACGACAGTCGACGGATAACAACGAATGGACTGTAATCACTAATCAGTGTAATCTGTATCAATATTCAAGAGTTGACTATAGTGCTGCCATATATGATAATATAAAAAATGAGAAAAAATTCTAAAAGATTATATTTTTAGCTTTTACCAAAAAAATCAGGATAGCCGATAGGTATATAACAATTTACAATATTGACGTCTGACGATAACAAATTCTAATTAGGACGAAATTACATATTTGAAGTTTACATTTTAAATTATGAATAACGATTTGCATTACTTTGTTATAGTTATAGTTCAAAAAATTATGATTGGGGCTTGAAACGTTCACATATATATTAAAATTAAATTATACACACAGATTCGTCAGAAACACAATAACACTTACAAATGCAATGTTTTCGACTAAAATTAATTCAATCTACTGTAGATACTACGAGCATAAAAATAAATTACTCTATTAGCAAAATCAAAAAACATATCATGATCATAAAATGGTCTCACGCTCAGAATTATTGTTCGTACCTTTACAATGATATATATATATATATATAAATATTATCATTGAATTTAAATTTTATACGTCCATTAAAATCAATAATCACCCGCTCGATACCTACTATATAGTCAATATTCAGTAGACTGGTACTCACTACCCAGGATTTAAGATAGTTATGTATAGAATATGCTTATCTATACACCTATGCAGTATGCATTATATTTTTCGTAATATGACGTCATGGTTAGCGCCAGCAGACAGCGCGGGCTGATAGTATCGTGATTCAGCACATTGATGATAATGATTAATGACTGTGCACACTGCACAGTGTACTGAAGTTGTGTACTTGTGTGAATTGCGCGAGTTTTCGAAGTTACTAGATACTTCTATTTAGTCTGCAATCTCCTTCCTTAGTTCCGTAGTTAGTCATTAATAATGACTCATATGAATTGGAGAAGTGTGAATGTTTAGTTGATATAAAGCGCACCAAATACAAATACACAATAGTGTTGAACGGATTCACTAGAAACCCGGAAGAGTGATTCGGAGTTCCTTGTTCGACGAGTTTCTTTGTTTTTGTTTTAAATTTGTAACTTTTTCGCTCGTGCCGTGATGGAATTCCCAAACTTAGGTCAGAACTGCAGCAAAGAGACGTGCAAACGTTTTGGTGAGTCAAGGATAATATTAAGGATTACACAATGCTTTGGTTTCATACATATCTACATCTTAGTTTGACCAGAATATCGGTCTTAATTTCTGTTAATTTCACTTATAAGTTTAGTTTTATCATTAATAATCATAATAAGCTCATCTTTTATTTATGGAATATAATGTTTGCCATCAATGTTAGGGTTAAAGTTATCAAAAATCCTTTACGTATTTCAACTTTGCAACCAAATGTCAATAAAAAATCAGCTACACATGCATATGTAACTTTTTAAAAACCATATCATTATATGTATATATATTATATTTGTTTTATTCAAAATAAGCGTAACAAATATCTTTCTAGAATATTACTTAAAAATATGAATTCATAAATTAGAAATTTGAAATTTAATATATATTTTTTTTTACCATTGTGCTACTTATTTTAGAGCATATCACTGCCTATAATCTATAGGTATTACATTGCAATCAGAAGTTTAAAACTATTAATTGTTAATTAAGTTTTTTATGATTTTGTATAAAATTTTTTTTTTTATTTTAGATTTCCTGCCAGTTAAATGTGATGCGTGTTCAGGTATATTTTGGTAAGTCATATTCTGGAAATGTTATAGATTTATTTCTTATTATCTGTGTATAATTTTAAAAGATGATTTATCTCTAATGCCACAGTTCCGATCACATGAGCTATAGTAGCCATCAATGTCAATCTGCTTACAAAAAAAATGTACAAGTACCCATGTGTCCTTTGTGTAACAAACCAGTACCAGTACCACGAGGTCAAGAACCAGATTTTACTGTTGGGCAACACATTGACAATGACTGTCGGTTTACTGAGGGTAGAAAGGTATTTATTTACAGTTCCTAACCCTCTTCTTCTACTAGAATTTCTACTCTTTAAGAGTTTTGGCCGCCAATACTACACTTTGCCAACTGTCTATCTTGAGTTGTCTCTTTCCAATCCTCAACTCCAAGGCTTTTTAAGTCTTCTACTATGTCAATCCATCTTTTCCTGGGTTTACCTCAGGATCTTTTACCTTGTGGTTTCCATTCCAATGCTACTTTAACTACTTTGTTCTTTTATCTTCTCACTACGTGATCTAACTGTTGTATTCTTTGACCCTTAATAAAGCTTCTTACTGGTGTTAGTTACAGTTGCTAACCATAATAAATTTAAATAAAATTAACAAATGATTGTATTTTTAGGTGTTCACAAATAGATGCATGGTAACAAAATGTCGAGGTAAGGAAGCTGTGCCTTTGGTTTGTAGTGAATGTCGTCAAAACCATTGTTTTAAACATCGTCATCCTTTAGATCATGGTTGCACTGGTAGTGCAAAATCTGTCCAAAGAAAAGTGACGTAAGTAGATACTTAATTTTATGCCATAAATAATAATTTTTTTTTAATTGTATACTTACTATTCACTTCTAGGGATGTTAAAAATTTATTTGGGACCAACGGACTAATAAAAAAAGCTTTTACTGCAACTGCAATACAGGGAAATATGGTAATTTGAAATTATATTATAATGATGGTTATACAATTTTATGTATTACGGTCAATATTAAAATAAAAAAATAAAAATAGTCACTTTACATTTTTTTAACTCCGCTTCTTTCAAAATTATTTTTCTTTTTATAAACTATGATTGCACTGTAGTTTTCTTTATGAATGTAAGACCATAGAACTAAAGAACAATTGTTTTTATTAAAAATGAGTTGTTGTTTTTAATTGAAACATAATTATTTTGAAATTACAGTTTTAATAATATTACTCAAGTATCTAAAGTGTACATTTTGATTGATACTTGTTATCGCCTCATTGTTGTGCTATATAAAATTTATCATCAAAAGTTTATTATCAATATTTCACTTTATCTTGATATCTTATATGTAGATTAATTTATTATGCTATTTAATAGAAAAAATATAATACAATATTTAAAATTGTAATTTAAAGTGTGTACCTGTATGATGAATATACATTTTGTGCATTGATTACAATTACTGTTAACCAAAACTTCTATTTAAGTCTAATTATATTACAAATATTGTTAGTTAATTTAAAAATATAGTTAAAAACTAATTCAAGTGAGCTATTTCCCGTAATATGTTATACTAGCATTTAATTTTTAAAATAAAAACTTATCGCTCAAAAAAATAAAATATTAAACATTTAATATGCCTATGACCACGTATCAACTATACTTGATAATTAACATGAATTTTTGTCATTTTTATATTAAATTATTATTTGATTGATTTATTCTAATACCTTGATAAAATAGTTTTTTTTAAGCAACATTCCAAATCAACCATAAACATGTTTAGGAATTTTTGAAAATTGTCTTATTATTTTTGTTTTAAAGTTAGCCGCCAGTGATTAATGATAAGTAATAACAAATAAATACATTTTATTTTGTTTTAATTATTTATTAATTTTCATGGTTATGCATTAAATAACAAATGTATAAATTAAACTATGTATTTTCCGTTAATTTTGACTCAAATAAGTAATAATTATAACATTACTTTTTGCATAATACCAAATATATAATATGTATAATTACTTTTTCAGAGTGAAGATGAAGCATTAGCTAGAGCCTTAGCTGAGTCTGAACGTTTGACAAACGAAAATACCACTAGTCCTCAACCAAGATGTACTGTTGCATAAAATTGTTAATTTTTATCAAATCAAGCACAAAATATATCATTTTTTATTAATGTTTTTAAAAATTATTATACATTCCAGACGTTTATCTTATGTACCATGATGAAATATTTTATTTATATGTTAATTTTGTGATAATGTATTTTAAGCAATACCATTTTAAATCAATTCACTTTGTAAAACTGAATAATCTGAAATAAACACTCCGTCCTTGTTGGTATTCATATTCTTATTTTAAATTACTTCAATTCAAGTTTACCATATTTTAAAAACAAATTATCTTGTTACTTTATTCATGTAAATACAGATTTCAATAATTGAATTTATAACATGGTGTTTTAATATATATATATAAATATGTGTATTTTTTTTTTTTTTACAAATATTAAATGGGCAATTAAATTTTATCTACTGTAAAAATGTATTGTATAGAACAGTTGTTAACGGTATCTTGATGTTAATAAATTTAATTAAACTTCCCTTTGAACGTTTTGAATAAAATAAGTTATAATCTTTTTTATGTTTTAAAAAATGAATATTACACAAGCCAAGCTGAGCAAATCTAAATTCAAAATTAACAAACCTTTGATAAGCGTATCCGAGATGTATGTTGGCTAAACTTAAGTAACACATACTTAGTGAAAAAAAAATATTCAAAAATGTAGGTACTACATAATATATTTATTAACTATACAATTTTGAATGTTTAGAATCCACTTCCATAAATATTATAAAATCACTTTCGAATATTTCGTTTTTGTACTTTATTTAAAAAAAAAAAAAAAACTTTTAACTTTTTTTTATATAAAAAGCTTGCAGTCAATAGAAAAAATAATAACCAATAACACTTAATACTTTAAAAAAAAAAAAAATTAAAATATGACTTGGTATTTTTCAAGAAATAGACATGGTAACTTGTTAAATCTATTTACTGGTGTCTAACCAATAATAATTTATAGAAATTTAACAAACTACAAGTTACTTTGTCTTAAATTTATCAAACTTAGGAGGTGATTTTTTTGATACTTTAAATAATTAACAAATAAGACAAAATTACAAAGACGTCAACCACATATATTTCACCTAAATTTATTGTGTTCATTATAAAATGTATAATTAAGATTTATACATTTTTTTCAATTATTAACATAGACTAATATGCTCTATTAAAAATTATATATAATAATAATTGTAATTCATGATAAATGTACAAGACAAGTATAATATTTACAGAACTCGTTGATTTGTTTTTTTTTTTTTTTTTGTAAAAACAAAAATTACATTTTGCAACTACAAATTAACACATAATGTCTATACTTAAGAGTTTATTCCTATAAAATAAATATTGTTATTAAAATATTATTTTTTTTTTTTTTTGTTATTTTTGGCTTTTAATTGTACTGTTGTATAATGTATAGACAAATGTATTATATAAGTAAATACAAATAAAATAATAATTCATTAAAAAAGGAAAGGAAAAATAATGCAAATTTGGGCTCTTCATTAACATGCTAATAAAGATTAAAGTAATTAAAAACATATTTAGCAATTTTGAGTAGATACTAATCTTTTTTAATAGTTTGTGGAGCTTCTGCAAGACCTTTGACCTAAAAAAAAAAAAAAAAAATAGGTGTTAAAAATATAACAAATTAATTAAAATATATATTTTAGTTTATATTATAGTTTACAACAGAAATAGTTTCAAGATTTAACATCAAAGGCAACATTTGTTTTAATTTTATTATTATGTTTTTATTTTTAAATTGTATAATATAGCAATAATTTAATTTTTGAAATTATGCATAAGATAATAAAAAAAGAAATAATATTCTTATGAAGGATCATACGAGGATAAAATTATATAAGCTAGGTAGATTTTTTTATGACAAAATAAATAATAATAAGAAAGGAACAAGAGTAAAAGGGTTAAAGAGGATATTATATTTGTTTGAATATACTTTCTTGAGAGGTATTATTATATAATTGAGATAAAGGAAAATAATAAAAAATTCTCTAATGACCAAAAGATCAACACTTTTTTCATATTATTAGTTTTTTGCCTATTTTTACAATATGATTCTGTTTTACTAAAATTACAAATTCTACACATAAAATAAATCATTTATTATATTAGATTGAATTAATTTAAGTATAATTAAATACTTAATTAAAGTTAAAAATTTTACTCTGAACCTTACATAAAGTTTTTTGATATTTATATTTTGAAAAAAGTTACTAAAATTTAACATTTTCAAAAAATATCAGGGTTTTACAAAATGATGGCTTTTTTTGCATATTTGTCTATAATCTGAAATCAGATTTTGAAACAGAAAATCGGATAAAGTAAAGGTGGAGGATTAAATGTGAAAAATTGTCAATACTTTTCAAATTAATTGGAAAAAGAAAACAGAAAATTACAAATAGTTATGTATACCTAATCAATTTTAGACAAAATCAATATAATTTTTTTGTTGTAATTAAAAATTAAATAACTATTAAAAATATGGGAAATATATATTATATACATATATTTTTATGAGCATTTGAAGTTCAATGTTGAGAAAATTTAATATTCAATGATAATATATATTTGATAAATAAATAAATAACATTTTAGGGGGTAATAGTACAGTCAGTAAGTAAACAGTTAAAAGCAATTTATATCATAAACCTATATATTATATATTATGGTGTGTTGGTATACTGGCACTAAGTTCAAAACAATCAGATATAAAATAATATTTATATGAATATTTAATGATACAATAATTAATAGAATAACATTCTTTATAATGTTTTTAGCAACAATTAGTTTAATTCTACTATGTTATTAACAGAAGTAGTAACATAAATATATTTGATAAATATTAAAAAATTATCTTTAGAAAAAGATATTAAAACAAACTAACTTCACTAGATTTTTTTTGTATACTATTATTGGTTTTATTCATTATTTCAACTACCGCCTATTACTATAAAATTTGTTTATTCTGTTGTCTAAACTGTTAAAACTTTGTTAACTGATTTTAGTGGTATCACAATTGATATTTGGTTAACAGACATTTAAAATTATTTTTATATTTACTATTAATTAAAATTATGAATCTTAGGAAATTATGTTTATCAAACAATGAAAAATTACCCTTGAATTCTTTTAAGAAAAGGGTTTACTTCAAAGTCACTATGAATTCAAAAACAGTCATAATATAATAAGAAACTATACTTTGAAAAAGATTCTAAAAAAAAAATAATATTATTTTATTTTATTTAATAAATTGATAATCACATCAGACAGTAGTTGAAATAATGGCAATTTAACAGTTGGTAATCGAGATAGTAAATGATCATCTAATGATCTGTCATTGAATTCTAATTAACAAAAAAATAACATCAGTATCAATAACCTAATTAACACAGCAAAGTCAAAACTATACAACAGAATGACTTCCTTGGATTTTATACATTAAGATAGAAATTGATAATAGTATTGATTTAGATCAAATTTTAAATAAAATATTATTAGGTACCTAGTATAATTTAAATGTTTTTTTTTAACTTAAATTACATTTACTATCAAAATTATGTAAGTATTTAAATGTGTTTACAAGTTATGATAATTAATTAGCTATTAATAATAATTAAACTGAGATGTATTATGAACTTTCACTTTTATACAATGACATTAAATTATATGAAAAATATTAATTTACCTTCAAACGATCAGCTGTCTTTAAAAAAGCTGGCAGTTGTTCCTGGCTTATATTAACTTCTCCTGCATACATAAATTCCAATATAGACTGCAAATGACTGAAGGGTACGTCTTTAAGTATTATGATCGGATGTTTTGATGGATTTTCCTAAACACATTTTTTAAATAAATGTAAATTATTCAATTTATAAGTTGGGTAAATAGGAAAACATACTTATACTAATATTCTTTATAATGTCTACTAAAACCCCATATCAATACGATTAAAATATCATAAAAATGATACTTTTTAAATTATAGTCAGTTTAAACATAAATTTAAATACTAGGATTCAAAAAGTCTTGTTATACTTAGAAAATATTTTTATGACAACTTAAATCAATTAACATACTACATACAACTATTGTTGTTTTATTTAATAGATCTTGGGTATCCATGAAAATACCTAATAATTAGATTTCAAATTTGAGTAATTTTTTATGTTTGTCAAAAATTGTTATTACTACTTGAAATAATTAATAGTAGAATAATATATGTACACAATTATTAAAAACAGAGATTATCAACAATGAATTCCAAAGATAAAAAGATAACCTAATAAATTATTTATAAAATAATTAATGATATTAACTATGATAGAAATAAAACTGATATAAGAAGAAAACCCAAAAGACCCTACTCTGATCAAGACAATTTGTAAGGAACTGTACAAAATCATCATAATACGAAATACATATTGACCATATTGTACAGTGTTGATGTTAATATCCATCAAATGCTATATAAATCTTTTTGATCGCAAACTGTTACAATATGGCAAAACATGTATAGAGATGGACATTAGACCACAAGAACAAAATTGAACTGGATTTCTTCATGACAATATTTTTCTGTAAAAGCAAGGCAGCTTTGCCTTAAACGACGGACTTACCTCTAACAATGCTTTAAAATAAGGACTGCAGGCTGATAGCACCATTTTGTGAGCCTTACACGTCTGCCCTTCGCAAGCAAGTGTTACATCCGTGAAGCTCTTCTCGTTCCTCAGGTGTTTGAAGGACGACACCATGTTGCTCTGATAATCGTTCCATTTCAGGAAATATTGCTGCTGATCTGCCATTATTACACGCTGGAAAACAATCAACCGCCGACAACCGGCACATCATTAGGGTCGGTGTCGTTCATTCCTCGACATCGTATCTGTGCACCATTATGATAATAATTACCTTATAACGATTCGAATCGTCGAAAACGCGTACGGTGGTGCAGTGATCAAAAGATCCGCGAGCTTGACAACAACTGAACTGATCGTCGCCGTTTGCAGACCTAAACGTCAATCAATGCACCAGGACATGTACGAACTTGAACTTGAATAATGGACGACGCGCGATAACGTAATATCCAAATCCGTCGGGGGCGCGCGCGACTGTGACGACGTTGGACTCGGACGTGCTCGTCTACTGCAGTACTGCGGTGATAAAAGCGTGTCAGAAACGACAGAAACACATAATAATAATTGAAATAATAAAATATTGTTTAGCACAATATTATTAAAATATTATGTCGGAGAGATAAACAAAACGCGAAAAACGTTGACCCGACGTGTTGACGAGCGCGTACGGGTGTCGGCGTCTGCGAGTGCGTGGGTCAGACGGTGCGTGTCTGCGGGTGCGCGCGCGTCATTTTCTTCCTTGGACGACGAATGGCCGACCGGTGCGGCGGTAGGTACGACATATTATGTTGTCGTGGACGGGGAAAGCGCGGCGGCTTCGTCGAGCCGGTCGAAAGCGCCCGCCACCGCAGGTAGCCGTCGCGGCGCGTACCCTTGGTGCGTTACGGCGCGACGGTGTGCGAAATCGTGACGGCCGACTACGCTTGTCTTTGGGGGGGCTACACTTTGGGGAAGGGGCCGTGACGACCGACCGAGTGTGGGTTCTCACTCGTCGGAACGCCGGCATTCGGCGAGGGTGCATTCAATCGGAGTCGCCGAGTTGGTTAGGAACAGCTCGGAGTTTCCCGGTGGAACGAATCATTCGTTTTTTCTTCGTAGTTTTCGGATGACTTTTCATGCGACGACGTCCGATTTTTCTTGTGGAAAATTGCATTATCGTCGTTGCGTTGGCAACACTGCGATGTTTATCACCGCGGTCTAATTTCTTTTTCAAATTTTTATAATTTTTATTTTAATTGTTCCATGCATACATCCCGCGACTTGGCATTTTTAATTTCTTATACATTGCCCGTTGATAAATATAAGGCGTAAGTACAAATTAAGTTCTTATTTATATTTTGCCGCGTGTCAAGCTATCGTCAAATTTGACCGCAGCCACACAAATTCAAAATGTTAAATTTTCCATACTCCCACGTGTTCTTTCCCTATCTATAGATTATTTGGAAAAACTCTGAACCTGAAAAACTGATATTATTATATTATACACGGATGCAATAGCTGACAACTGGTAATGAGGTCGTTAATTTCATTGAATTGCCAAAAGTATTTGAACTACTGGGATTAGCCCCTCACCTAGATAATGTATTCAAGACTGAATCCCTTCAAAAATAAAAAAATAAAATACCTATTTTACATACCTACCTAGATTAAATTTACATCAAATTATTATCTTAGATTCTAAATGTTCTGAATGAATAGATCAATGGTTTTACTTTGATTTATTTACACTGCGTAAACGTTTTCAGATAGAAATATTGGTCCAAAAAAATCTCCTACACCTTTAAATCAAAAATCACCTGACCATGATATTTTGAAAAAGTAATTTTTCGAAATGTTTGAAAATTTAGTTTAAAACTCAGGAAAATCTAATGAAAATTGGACTAACTGTTTTCTGTATTTATTAAAAGCGCTTATAGTTAGACTATTAAGATCAACGCCTCAACTGTTAATTATATAATAAGACAAAAATAATTAATTTTCCAATCATAACATTTATTGTTTTTTTATAATATTTTATATTTAATATTAAAACTTAAAAATAAAATGGTCTATACGTCTAGAGATTTGATATTTATACTTAAGTATAAACATTAAGTGTATATAAATAATAATATTGTTCATCGAATATTTATGAAACTATTAAAATATAGATAGAGAACTATTGAATTTTAAATATATGGTTTAAATTTTAATTACTCGTAGAACTAGGTACTATAGAACAAGGCTTTTTAACACAATAATTGAATTGGATACTTCTTATAAAATACATTTTAAAACATTTATTTGGCAATGGCTTAAATTTTTAATTTGTGAGCTCTTTTTTTTTATTAATTATTTCTTTCTATTAAAAACTTTTAGATGCATCACATTTTATAATTTATTTTTATTTATTAAATTTTTATCTTATAAATAGTTTACTCGTTCTGAATTTAGGTCGTATACTAAATTAATAATAAATATATATATTTAAAATATATTACACATGAATCATGATGGATTTTTATATTTTTTAAATTAAAATTCTTAATAATACTTATTACAGCGCATTTTGTATTGATTTTTTGAGATTTGAATGAATTTATAATAAGATTAATAACAAAATGATTTTTTAATACATTCAATTCATAGCTCTAATTACTCGTATTAGCATTTTTACTAACCATTTGTATAAATAAATCTTGTACAGAATTTGTTATGATGCTGATAACTTGCAAAATATAATTATATACAAATACATAACCAAGGTTCTGTATATGTATATAAATAATAGTAATATAATAAGGTATTTCGTTAACCATAGAAAACTGGTAACTATAGATAGAGATTGTATGTAATAATATTATAAATTAGCATAACATTATTAACATTAATATTTTATAATTAAACTAAAACTATTTTATTTGTATTCATTTTTAATTAACTTGTTGAAAATATGTTTAGTTTTTTTAAAGTAAAATTTAAAATAGACGGCATGAAAAGGCAAAAGATCCCCCTGTGTTTGCCTAAAAAATAATTGCACACATCCTTTTCAAAATTTAAAACGCAATTTGCACTAATGATATATTACATGTATATAAAATTGCATATATAATTTTAATACCATAATTATATCGTTCCACTCACTTGGTGTCTTTAGATTATTTTTAATAATAAATACAATTGGAACTTTGAACTTTTCAAATATTAGTATCTATTAGACTATTACCATCTACATGAAAAAAAAAACATAATAGTACAAATAATATAGTTGTCTTGTAACAGTAACACTAATAATAACTAAATATCAATTACTGAAGGATAAAAGTATGCATGTAATAATAACCATTATATGGTCATTAATGATTATTCTCGAATGTTGTGAATATGCTTACATAATCTACACATAGTCTAGAGACAGACATAATAGTTATTACTATTGACGATTATAATATTGTACTCATGATGTTGAATATGTGTTGGTCTTAGATTATATTAAATTTACTCTATCATAAATTATGTAGATACTAGAAGCGTTTGACTTTTTATACAAAATTATCTATTACTATTGTTTCATTGAAAAGTATAATTTAGTATTATATTTGTAGACAAAATTCACACTTTATACATACAGTATACGACATATGTATTTTTAATACATGTTTGAAATTTTTTAATAAAATTATACACAAATATACATTTATGTTCACAGGGCGTATTGGATAGGCAATTAAGGTACATCACTGTCATGGTTATTCGTTTTTTTTTTTTGGTATATTATTATCGTAATCGTACCCCGTGCGATTTATTTTAATTAATTTCATTATTTTTATAGACATTTTTAAATTTCAAATTTCAACAAAATTTCATAATTATATAAAAAAAATAAGGGCTTAAGTTATTTAATTGTATTTTAAAAAATAAATCTTGTATATTTAAAAGTTTAAAGTTTTCACATTTTCTAATGAATTGTTTCGGAAAAATTAATTCAACCTACTATATATTACTTATGGCAAAATAAATTGCTTTATATCAATATATCATAAAATATTCTTAGTAATATAGTCACATAAACTATTATCGTTCAAGATTGTTTTCGTTGGTAAATATTTATCATTGAATTAAAATTTAACATAATACTTAACAATGACAATATATACATTTGACACCAACTGTAGGTACAGCAGAGGATAATTATTTATACTTTCCCCCATTATTATAATAAGCTTAAATTTTAATTATTCCATGCAAATTTTAAATGTAAGATTTATTAATTAAGATGCAGTTAAATAAAAAAAATTAAATATATAAATATTTTTTCTCAAAAAAAATTTAATAGCCTTTGGTAAAATTGTTTTTATAAAAACTTTAATAAACATAAGCCAGTCGTTGCCTCAGCAAAAGTAAAAGAGACCTTTTTTAATATTAATAATAAAATATAATAAGTAATATTTTTTGTCATTTTATTTCTGATTTTTATGAATACAAACGTATAACTTCAGAAAATACTGTAGTTACACTTAAGTAATCAACTTTTTATTTTAACTCGTTTAATAAAAATCTTTAAGTTCTATACTAGGTAAATGTCACTTCATATTAAATGTATTGATGCCAAACTATCTTCAGTAGTGTTGGACATTTTTTTCAAGAATACAAATACATATCTCACCACTTAAGTACTCGCCCTCGGTGAAGAACATCCAAAAATTTAGCATTTTCGCCACACCTAATTATTATAAATAAAACACGGCATTTAATATATACAATATTTATATTAAAGTAAGATCGGCGCCATTACCTAATTAGTAAGTAATATACCAATTAATAATAATTTATTACTTGATAGTTATTTCTTTAGTAATAATTTACATAAGATATAAATCAATGTTAATGTATTAACTTTACATATATGGCGCAGAGTTCTATCAATTTATCGTATTAAATTTATTTTGTGACACTGGCGATAGTTTATCATCATGTCACAGATTATAAATCGTTTAAAAAAATAAATAAATAAACAAAATACGACAAATATACTCAAGTTTTAAATAGTAAATACGAAGCATTACGAGCATAAAACACATAAATAATACGAGCGTATGGTCATATTAGTTGAGTCATCAGCATCAGTTGTGTATTGAATTATATATTACGTGATGTACACTGTATACACTAAATAAAATTTAAAAAAAATATTTTCCTAACTCAAGTCCTACAAATAGCTAACCGATACCTTCACGTACTGTCCACGCGAAATTTAATAAGGCGGGAAAATAATTTAAAATGGCCAATTGTACAACTTCTTTGAGGTTAGATCAGTTCTCCTATCAGTTCATTTCCCGCTCATACTTATGTATTCTTTGTAACCATTATTATACTGTTTACTGCTTTACTAAGCTAGTGGCTAGTAAAAGTGTTAGTGTAGAATGTAAATGATGGTAAATTAGTATTTAATATATTTTATTAATTATTATTTAATATTCACTAATTACTATAGATTCTACTGATTCTAGTCATTGTCTAATTTACCAACTACTTGAACTACTCAAGTTTTTTAAATTTGATTTGATTTGAAGGTAAGTCATTGTACATTAGTTAATTGATAGTATTTTATTTCGTATGTTAAGTCAAATCGCTCCGACCGGCACAGACGACGATCATGTCCAATTACTCATTTCACTTTTTTATGTGTCTACTGTCACTCCACGTTTTTGATAATGATACTATTACCATACCATTTGGCTCTTAGTTTAATCCTATTATAAATCAATAACATTAATAGTATTTGCAGAAAAAACATATTTTGGCGATCTTGAAACTATAAATATGTACCTATGTGAATATGTAGGTTTATGTCATAATTTTTACAATTCAATAATATTTTATAATAGATTTTTTTTTATTTTAAATATGACCCAATTGCATAAAAATGAATACCTATGTGTTGATTAATTAGTGTTATAATTAGGTAGCAATGTACCTTTCATAACATTTTTCAAAAAGCTATTGTCTATAAGCTATTCTTGCTCGAAATAATTGAACGCTTATTAGGTAGGTACTCACAATTTATTATCATTTATTATAAATGACATAAAGAATTTAATCATTTTTATTCATTATGACTGAGGCTTATTCTTAGCTGAAGGTTAAATTTATTTTATTTTTAACTGTTATTAGGCGATGTGTTTTAATAATATTTAGTTATTGATAAAAACTTGCCTATTTTTTTTTTTTTTGCAAAATATTGGTTTCAATATTTAGTAGATTATTTTAACTATTAATTGTTTTTAAAATTATTTATAGTTATTTTTGTACAGGTAATTATTCATAAAAAAAATGGAGTATGAAAAAATGTTAACAAAAGGCGCTTTGAAGTCTATTATGAACAATGAAGATGTTAAAGATCCAGTCATGCAAGTTCTTGGTGTAAGGAAAATTACTGCTGCAGGTGCAAATGAAAGATATCGCTTACTTATTTCTGACGGTCATAATTTAAATTCTTTTGCAATGTTGGCTACTCAGTTAAATGGTATGGTGTCTTCCGGAGAACTTAATGAATTTTCCATCCTACAGATAAAACGTCATATAATCAGTAATTTAACCGACCGTTCAAAAGGAAGTAAACAAGTCATGATCCTAATAGATTTGGCTGTAATGGTGCCTGGTGATTTGGTGGGTTCAAAAATTGGCGATCCTAAGCCAATAATTGATAATTCTGGTCAAGTAGTTGAAAATGGTACTTCCGCTTCAGTTGACTCTACACCTCAATCTAATTCTTTGCCAAAACCACGTTCTGCCCAAGCAAGTGTTATAGATAATGGACTTCCTAGAGATATTGATGTTAACAATATTCATCCTATTAATTCACTAAGTCCATATCAAAATAAATGGACAATCAGGGCTAGAGTTGTAAACAAAGCTCCAATTCGTACCTGGAGTAATCAAAGAGGTGAAGGTAAACTTTTTAGCATGGATCTACTTGATGAAAGTGGTGAAATACGCGCAACTGCCTTTAACAACGAATGTGACAAATTCTTTGATATGGTTGAAGTAAACAAAGTATACTTTATCACTCGTGGTGCAATCAAAACAGCAAATAAAAAGTTTTCAAATTTAAATAATGATTATGAACTTACACTTTCTAGTGAAACGCAAATTTTCCCATGTCATGACTTTGATGATTCTCAATTGCCTGCTCTAAAATTTAATTTTGTTCCATTAAGTCAAGTTAAAGATGTTGATGTTGATGGTATAGTTGATGTCATAGGAGTTTGTCAAACTGTTGGAGAATTGACTAAGTTAATGTCAAAGACTACAAGAAAGGAATTAAAAAAAAGAGATGTGACTATTGTTGATCAGTCTTTAAGTTCAGTAACTATTACATTGTGGGATACTCAGGCAGAAGATTTTGATGGATCATTACAACCTGTAATTGCCATAAAAGGAAGCAGAATCAGAGAATTCATGGGTAGCAAATCATTGTCACTTTTAGGATCAACTGTAATGCAAATAAATCCTGACATAGAAGAAGCTCATCGCTTAAGAGGTTGGTATGATTCACTTCCTTCAAATGTAGAATTCAATAGTATTTCCACCCGTTCTGATGCTGGAGCAAATTCTCAGTTTCTTACTATTAAAGGAGCACAACTTGCTCAACTTGGTGGTGGCGATAAAGCTGATTATTATAGTATGTACTCGCATTTAATTTTTGTGAAATCTGAATCTGCTCTGTATAAAGCATGCCCAAAACCAGATTGTCAAAAAAAAGTTATTGATCGAAATGATGGAACATATCGCTGTGAAAAGTGTAATGATGAAACTGAAAACTTTAAGTACAGATTGATGCTTTCAGCACAACTAAGTGACTCGACTGGAAACCAATGGGTAACTATGTTCCAAGAAACTGCTGAAAATCTTTTGGGCACTACTAGTGCAGAATTGGGAAGGTTGATGGAAGAGTCTAAAGAAGAATACAGTGATGTTTTTCAAAAACAAATGTTTAAATTATTTGAAATTAGAGCTAGAGCTAAAATGGAGACATACAACAATGAGACTAGGTTAAAAGTATCTTTAGTCAATATAAAACCAATTAATTATAAGGTAGCTTCTTCAAAATTGATTGCTGATATTAAAAGATTGAGTGGGATTTCAACATCAGTTATGTAAAAACCTATCATTTTTATACTTTTGTTTCTAGTTAGTAAGTTTAAAGCTTAACATAATTAATATTATATAAGTATATTTATTACATTTTTTAATCTTTTATTGTTTAAAATAAGTTCATTTTTAATTACACAATGTTGAAGATCAATTGTATTATATTTAGCTTATAAAAATAAAAATGCTACTTTTATAATAATTTAGTTATGTGTATATAATATGTTGTATATTTGTGGTGTAAATACATTTTCAAAAAAAAAAAAAAATTAAAAAAAAATATTCATAGCAGTAAAAATAAAATTTAAATTATAGGAAGTTATAAAATGATAATCCCCACTTATTTGATACTAAATACTAGCCCAACAAATTGTTCATAATGCAATGTGACTACTCCATCTTGATCAGTATCAAATTGACGGAATGCTGTAGTTAAATTCTGAAAAATTAAAATGAAGTATACATATTAAAATTATTTGTTTAACTTTATTGGCAAGTTAACCCTTAGAAATAAATATAATTATAATTGCTATCAATTTGAATTAAATAATAATTAAGTAGATTTTGATAAATTATGAAATACATTTCCGTTTATCGAAAGAGTAAAGATATACTAATGTTTTGTATGTAATGAGTCATTACGAATGAGTAAAGACTAAGTAAGCCAAGTATGTGGTTCCAAATATATATATATATATTTGTGTTTAAATAAAAAGATATTAGCTAAATTTTATAATGAAATTTTCAAGATGTCTTATGAACATAATTTTAAATCAAGACAGTAAAATATATTGTATGAGATAACAAAACAGATGTTTTGTATTTTATACATGTTATAATTGGAACAACCAGAACCAGATAAACAAGGTATTAGCATTGATTATAGAATTTTTAACGTTTGATTACAGCTATAGATACTGTACAATTTAAATAATTCAATTCAATTATATTATTCAATGTTTGTACTAATTTATCATAATTATAAAACATAAAATCATGACCAAACAAGTGTAACCGGCCCTATGAAATTTTCTCAGTAACTTGCTGGTTTAATCTGGGCATATAAGCTACAATTTAACTATAACTGATACACTTACATTAAGCATAATGCAGCATTGTATGAAATCATCAAACAGTACAGTCCCTCTACCAAGTCTATCAAATTTTTGCAACATTGTGGCAACAGTAGCATCGCTTAAGTTGTATCCAAAAGTTTGTAATGCAGCTCGAAGTTCATTTCTGTCTATGTTCCCTGAATTATCTTTATCAAAGGAACGGAAACAATTTTGCCAGTCTACAATATACTTCCATAACGCACCAAAATCTTCGAATGATATAGTGCCTTTATTTGACTTATCAAACATGTCTATAAAAAATAAAATAAATGTTTATATAAAATATAATATATGTTAGATATGCAGTACGATTAAATTAAATTACATTATTGTTATTATTTATTTTAATGATTAAATGCACTTTCAGAATTGTGAGACCAATTGATTAATGTATACATAATACATATCTAAGTATATAAAGTAGACCAATTTTTCATAATCTTGTCTTACTGATTTGTAATGGCCATAATATCATACAATTTAGGATGGTCATGATGTTAAAGTATAATAGCTTTTAAGGATGCATAGCAGGAAGATTTCTAGAATCACGACATCTTCAGTATTCTCTATTCATGATTAATTCTCTTAATATTTGACCAATTTTCTTATAAAAAATTAGGTAAGTGCTAAGACAGTGATTTATATCATCATATAACTTATTGTTCATACATCATTAAGTTAACTCAACTTGGTATTTATATTGCTTAAAACGGGTTCTACTATTTATTAGAATAATGCTCAGCTTAAAAGACAGATTATATTTACCACATAATCAGTAATAGTTATTTGTGTTCAATGCCTCAATGAAACCACAGAATAATGATACCATGACTTAATTTTTCTTGCGAGTTTTTTTGTTTTTTGTTTTTTAAATTTATTTTGTTAATCAAAATTGAAATTATCATTATAATTTTACTGTAGATACAAAATAAAATATATTTTAAATATCAGACATTTATTGACTCACTCAACATTAAGCGAACCGTCTCTGGGTTGAAAGGTGACCACGTGCCATTGGATAGTGCGCTCTGTAATTCATTAGCTGTGATGGAACCACTATGGTCTTTATCCAATCTTTAAAATAAGGAAACATTAACATATATAACTTGATAAAAATTAATAAGTATTTAATGTAGATATTTTACTTTTGAAACATTTCCAACAAGAATGAAGAAGGAGGCATTCCACTTTGAGGTTGGGCCATTTCGAAACTTAATTTTTAATTTTGTAACACTTCTAATTGTTTAAAAATTTCGCGGTTATGAAAATTAATAAACGTCAGCAAATAAACGGTTGACTACCAGGCACTAACTAGTAAACAATTAAACGAGTCATAGAATAATACAACAACTAATGCTGAACAATAATAAATGAAATACCGAATAACAATTAAATTTCATCATTATTCATTATACTTTTTATTATCTAGTATCTACGTACAATGTGAACAAGTAGGCATATAAACATTATAAACACAATATTGATAAGCGATAACTTATTGACATAACAAAAAAATAGTATGACAAAAATAATAATAAAAAAATATGTATACAACAGTCCTCTCGATTATCACCGTACGACTTTTTGAGCGCATGCGCGATTACCCAGTCATTAATGTGATAAGCTGCGCTGTTCTAAAAATGGAAAGTTCGGTGTCCACACTCCATAGATTTATTTATTTTATTAGCTATAGAAAACAATCAACAATTATGTGACAGTAGTGGGAAGTAGAATGCCAGTGGATTTGTCGTGGTGAGGTAATAATGTTCCCTGAAGTGATTATTATGTACAGTTATTATTATTTAATCGTGTGACAAAATTAGATCCAATGTCCATTATTAGGTCATTGGGTCATTTTGCAAACTAGCTGAAATGACCAAGTGTATGATGTGTTTTAATTTGTTTTGTTTTTTTGGGCATCTTAAAGGTCGGAGTGGATATTCTACCATTGGCGGTCATTCCAGGTCATGTGTTAACATTATGGATAATAAGCCCAGCATGAAAGTAGAACTAGATTCATGTGAAAACTGTTCTAAACTATCGGATGGGGATGAAGATAAAACTGCAGCCACGGTGTCTCAGGCAGAGATTTGGCAGGAAGATAAAAAATTCACAGTACCTATATAAAATTCTTTCATAAAAATTACAAAAGTCATTATAGTATATTTAATATTTAGTTTTGAAAAATTAAATTCTATGTTTTTAGGTCTATAAAGTTGTAATTTGGTCTCGGAATGAATCTTGGCATGTTTTTAGACGTTATAATGAATTCTACAAACTTAATGAACTACTAAAGAAACAGGTAAAGTTACAGTTTTAATTTTGGTTGATTTATTGACTCATAGTTTTTATTTTGTAGGCGCCAGACTCAAACTTAAAAATACCAGGTAAGAAATTGTTTTGTAACAACATGGATCCTTCATTCATTGCCTCTCGCCGGGAAGGTCTTGATCAATTTGTACATCATTTAATGCATCAAAACAATTTACTAAGCATGTAAGCTTAACTAATTATTACTTTAAATTGTATTATAAAATTATATTTAAAAGTTAAAAAGAGGTAAACAAAGAATTTATGAGAATAACTTAATTAAACATTTTTTTCATGTGCTCTACTACTACTAGAATTTGAAATAATTAATACATTTTTATAATAAATAGTGCATGGTAAAACTTAAAATTAATGGTGTTCATGTGTGTGCAATAATACAATCATACTTTCTCATTAACTTTGTAAAAAGTTCCAAGCTTTTACTTAAATGAAATTGAGAAAACTAATTACCTAGATCTCAAAATGGTAAAAAATGATACTTAATTGTAATTTTAATACAGTTGATTTAACTTGATTTTTCTCTCTGGCTTGTGTTTTAATTACAAATATTTATTAATAAAAAAATGATAAAGAATAATATATTTTTGAGGGTTTGACATATCAGTTTTATATTTTTTTAATAATTGACTTAAAAATAAAAATTTAATTTTTTTAAACTTAAATGGTTATTAAATTGTTTTCAAACAATATTTTAATAAATTAATAAATTATATCCATAAAAATATTTTCTATATCATTTTTTAAATTGGTATTTCACTTAAAGGTTATTAAAAACAACAAAAATTAGTTTGTATGTTTATGCATTTTGTGTTGTTAGTTGGCCCAATAGAGAAAATTAACAGTGTGCTTAGTGATGGTACTAGAGTTTTTGGGGCTCTAGGCCAAATAAATCACAACCTTTATTGCAGGGTCTTTAAAACGCTACTTGTAGGGCCTAAATTAAAACTTTAAAGCGCGGAGCCCTAACCCTATTGCTCCCCTTTGCACTATCACTGGGTGTGCTGAAAAATGTATCTACTAAACTATGATGTTTTTTTTTTTTTTTTAAATTAATACTATTAAACAATTTTTTATTTTTATAGAAGTGAAGTCCGCACATTCTTTAACTTGGATACTAAAGTTAAGGAACCAGATAGACCAAACCTTTTTAAATGCTCTGGTACTATAAATTTAGGGCCTTCGGAAAGACCATCGTAAGTAATATAAATGTTATAATATACTTAAATGTAATAAACCTAATGAAAATATATGTTAAAATAACAAAAAAAAATCCATTACTTTTTTTATTAAATAGAAAATTTACAATTTGTAAAATATGTACAATAAGCAAATATGATATGTGATGTGGAGAATATTTACATGATAATAAGTATAAGAAGGGAGACTATTCAATGACAGAACCTTCAGTAAATTTTTTACTAATTTTTGTTATATTGTTCAAAAAATTAAATATGTTAAATTTATAATAGTAAAATTATTTATTAGGTATCTACTGAATAAGATATTATACAAAATATTAGTATATTTTGTACAAAAAATAGTGGTATTCGTTTAATATGTGACTTACCAGATCAATAATTAATTAAAAGTAGTCAAATTAAAAATCATAAAATTAGGTTATTATAATAGATTACGCACTACATTTAAAGTCAGTCAATAAAACATTAGTAAAAAAAATTACGAAACAAAATGTTATGAAATTATTTTATTTAAATTATGTTTGGATAATATATACACTTTTTGTGTGCCACTTAAGAAATTGTTTCTTGTTTGTTAATAAATCAGTACCATGCTTCAAAACCAATGAATTTATAATAAAATTATAAAAATAAGCAAGCATAAGTTGTCTGTGCCTACATAATATAGATAATCATTTTGATAGGTCAAATACTAAACGCAGTAATACAGTTAATTTTGTATAAATTGAACAAGACTATGTTTAATTTCTACCTAATCAATTGTAATAAAACTAGATCTCAATTTTAAAAATAAATTATTATAAAATCAGTGTTTTACACATGGAAACATTATAGTTGTATTAAATAAATATTTAGTGGGCATACATGTTTGGTGAGTATTTGAATATTTAAATGGACAGCTATGAAATAGAGACTTCATAAAATACAACTTAAGTGAAGGTCTAGTAAATGGTGGGAAAATCAAGTTTAATAAAGTCTAAAAATCTTGGGAGTATTAAACCAAGAAGAATTGGAATTTATTAAGAAACAAGGAAGGCATTGTAGCAACAGTTATGGTTTTTTAAAGCTTTAAAAAACAAATAAAACATAATATATTTATGAATTGTTTATGTAAAAAGTTAAATTAATTTTTTTATTTTAAATTCTAGCGCTAAACCATCAGATTTTGTATTTTTACGTATTATCGGAAAAGGCAGTTTTGGTAAAGTATACTTGGCCGAACACAAAACTGAATCCATTCATTTCGCTGTTAAGGTATTAGATAAAAAGCACATACTTGCAAGGAACGAAGTCAAGCATATCATGTGTGAACGCAATGTTCTACTAAAAAATATCAATCATCCATTTCTTGTTGGCCTTCACTACAGCTTCCAAACCAAAGATAAACTTTACTTTGTACTTGACTTTGTAAATGGTGGAGAAGTAAATAGATGCTTTCCATATTGTATCAGTCTAATTAATTTAATGATTTTTTTTTACTTTTCAGTTGTTTTATCACTTGCAAAAAGAAGTCAGATTCTCAGAAACCCGAGCTAAGTTCTATACAGCAGAAATAGCATCTGCCCTCGGATATCTCCACTCTAATGGTATTATTTATAGAGATCTCAAACCAGAAAACCTTTTACTTGACCAGGAAGGACATTTGGTTCTTACTGATTTTGGATTTTGTAAGGAGGGTCTTATTGGAACTGAAACTACTAATACATTTTGTGGAACTCCTGAATATCTTGCTCCTGAAATAATTAGGAAAGAAGTAATACTGAAAATTATTAAAATTGTGATAACTTAATACATTTAATATTTATTATTATTTTTAGGCATATGGCAGATCAGTTGACTGGTGGTGTCTTGGTGCAGTGTTATACGAAATGTTATTTGGACTCCCACCATTTTACAGTTTAAATGTGCAAGAAATGTATAATTTAGTTTTACATAGTAGATTAAAAATAAAAGGACCTGTTTCATCGCAATGTAAAAATTTATTGCACAAGGTTTAAAAAATATGCTTGAAATTAAAAAAAAAAAGTTATTAAAATTATGTCTAAATGCAAATTTCTGTTTCTAGTTATTGGAAAAAGAAAGCAATAAAAGAATTGGTAGCAATGTTCAAGATTTTAATGAAGTTAAAAAACATTCATTTTTTAAATCGATCAATTGGGATGATTTATTGAATAAACGTATTACACCTCCTTTTCAACCACAACTGGTAAATGTAGTTTATTATAAAATAATTATTTTAATATAGATATTTTTAAACAATGAACATATTAGATAAATATTTATTTAATTCATTTAGTGATAACTTTATAAGTGTGTAAGTTAATCATTAAATTTTGATGTCAATTTTTTTTATAGAATGGAACATGTGATTTGCAATATATCGATCCTCAGTTTACAAAAGAATCTGTCAGTTCATCCATGTCATCGTTTTGCGATGAAAAACTTTCTTCTAGTAAACATGACATAGATAATGTGTTTGCTGGTTTCTCCTACACTCCTCCATCTAGTTTAGATTAATAATAATTGTTCCTATCCTTAGTTAATTTTATTTATACTTGATTGACTTGTGGCTGGCTTACTAAGACTATCTACAACTTTTTACTATCTATACAAAAAGTTTTTATTTTACATAGTTAATAGTTATGATTTTAAAATATTAAAATTAATATATTTCATGTTTTAAGAAGCAATAAGTAATATGTTCAAAATAAATAAGCAAAAACATTCCATTTTTAATACACTAAACCAGTGTGTGTTCATACATTAATTTTGCAGCTTTATTAGCCAGGGTCTTAATAAAAAAAAAAAATCATTAAACTATATTATCAATTAATATTACTTAATTTGATATTTTGATTCTTATTCACTGCCAAAATGTTGTAATGTGAAAAAAAAAATTAAAAAATAAAATAATTACTGTGATTTATTGCACTATCTATTTTTGAGCTTTAAAATCAAATTCTCAACATTATTGTACTGTATAAACTGTGCGTTTATAACAATATCGAATAAGTTTTAATTGTAAAAACTAATATTTCAATATGCATATATACACTAAAAAATAAATAAAATAAAATAATATATTTAACTTAAATAACATAATCTATACTCTATTTTAGGCATATATGATATACATATTGCATACCTAATTATACATAAACTAGAATATACTCATACAAATGCCTAATATATAAAATATTTATAATATAATTTATTAAACAATAGTCAATATGTAGGTATATACATACATTTTGTATTGCTTCTGACCCATGTATTATCATAACGTGAATTACTAACGTTACTACTAAATATATTGTGAATTATAAGTCATACAATGTTAAGATTAGATTAATTTAAATTATTAACTATGAAATATATTACTGTGTTAATTATTACAAGTTGACTTTCACTGGATACTGCCAAAACTTATTATTAATAATCATAATATATGCTCTTGTTATGACTGTTTTAAGCAAATTTAATAAATTTTAAAAATTGAATGTTACTTATTAATTATTATGTATAATTTTTACTAAATATTGTTCATCCTATGTTTGTTTAATTTTAATATGATTTATATACTATGTTTGACTATATAGAAATTTTTATGCATTTAATTTTTTTTTTAAGTGTACATTTTACCTAAAGGATTTCTTTTGAAACTATTAACATTGAAATTTAAGTTATTTAATGTCTACTATATTTATAATTTTAAACTATAAAGTATATTGTATTATTTATTGTTTAGACTCTTTATGTTTGTTGATCTTAAAAATTGTATTTATCAAAAAGTTTAATTAGGTAAGTATTAAACCTACTGTTATGATTATTGTTTTTGTATTTTAATTGTATGTTAAATATTGAATTATTGACATTTATATCTCTATAAATCAAATATACAATCATATAATATACTTATTGACTATTTATTTTATAAGAAAAATTGGTATTTTCTCATACTCAATAATAAATAATTGGGTCAAAATCAGGGATCATAGCAAACAGGAAATAACTGGAATCAAAAAATAAACTGTAACCACATGCACACACAGATTTGTTTTTAAAATATTTCGTCTTTAGACCATTTTTTTTTTAAATTCATTATTTGTCTCTGAGCAGTCCTTCAATATAATAAGATAAACGTTTCTTTTGCAATTGAAATTTGATCTATAAGTATTTTTAGGATGTATAAACTATAAAATAACATTATTTTTCTGGACTCCGAAAATGAGAGTAGTACTTAACCCATAATTTTGGTAAAGTATCTTGTATAACTTCTTGTCATTAATAAATAATCTTTTTTTTTCATCTATGAATCTTTTTTTTGAATATAATGATCTTACAGTCTCAATTTTATCAAACAAATCTATACCATTTAAATCGCATGTAGTGTCGGCCCTTGGTGGGGGGGGGGGGCAAGCGGTGCAACCGTACCGGGCCTACGCTTGAGGGAGCCCCACAAATTAGGTATGTAATACAATACCACTTTAAACTATAAATAAACATAATAATATTATAACAGTAGTATGCAAATTATATATAATAGCTATACAGTTACACGCATGCATATGAAAAATTGTTTATCATCGATGACGGTATAAAATTATATAAAAATAAAGTAAGTTCCTAAGAAAAAAAAAATAATATATAAGGAGCCCAGCAAAATTCTGCACCGGGCCCCGAAAATCATCGAGCCGGCACTAATCAGTGAATCACATATGTTTCATTGCTTAGTTTAACATGTGGATCTTTAAACGATTTTAAGAAGTCTTTGTTATTATTACCTTTAATATTAAACTAAAACTCCTAAGTATCATCAAATTATTTTGTTTGTTTTTTTTAAAACGTTTAGAAATAGAAGATAATGTTTTATTAGGCATGTTAGTAAATATAGGTATTGAATATGTTTTCAAAATATTGTTAAATGTATGTGCTGTCCAGAGAACGCTAATATATAAACATTTGGTAAAAAGTGTAGGTAGGAATGTCTACAGTTATTAATTTTTGAATCATAACAAAAAATAACCTACATTTTTCAAAGTAGGTAGGTATTCGGACACCAAGAATGGTGATTGTTCATGAAGAAATCGTTAGGTACTCATTTTCAATACAGTTTCAATATTTTATATTTTTTTTCTTAGTAGATATGTAACAATTAACAAATATACCAATAATAACTACGGTGACAGCAATATACTAATTTAATAATAATTATAACAAATTTAAACTTTTTTTCTGCGGTGATACATATTTTTGATATAAAAAATACATATTAAACAATTGTCGATTTAAAACTGTAATTTGACAAAAACACACATGTTGTTGCGTATCTGTAAACGGAAATAAAAATAATTAATATACCATTTTGAACGGTTATTGACGTTATTGTAGACAATACTGCACTCAGGCACAGATCCAGAGTAAAGTTCTGGGGAGGGAGCCCAAACAACTTTTTTATATTTATTTTATTCATAATTTAAAATTTTTGTAGTAGGTATAGTCGTATACATAATCATTTTAATAAATAAATGAATGATTATTTAATATAATACAATATTTATAAATTAAATATTAAAATCTAAACGTCTATTTACATTTTTGCTTTTTTCGATATATATATCCACCTAGTATAATATGTTATATTTTATCAGACGTATATACGATTTGAAATATAGTAATATCATAATCTGTAGAATTATAAAAAAAATTTGAGAAATAATATGTCTGGGGGGGGGGGGGACTGGACCCCTAGGCCCCCTCTCGATCCGTTCTTGACTGCACTATACGCCAACACGGTAATCGGGAATACCCGGCATTCGGTGTAGACGTGTAGTTACGTTAGAAATTAAAACGATTACAAACAAAACTTTTATCGAGACGTAAAAAAAATATCGTTACCTTTATATAATTCTGTTTTTCATAAATCAGTTCGTGACGACAATACATTTCACATACGGCATCACACCACTGTACAGTGAACTGGAACAACTTTTCTCGACAACTGAATCACTATCGGACGTACTTACGATGGTCTTACACAACGAATGCAATAAAGTGTTTACTTGTGAACTCGTGCTTTGGTCCAAAAACCGAGAATCGTACATGGTCCCACTTGTCTGTAAGACACACAGAAATTATAACAGTTGAATACAAACAGGTAATTCGTAAAATTTAATATCGTCTTGGTCAGAGACGTTCTCTGGGAGGGTGGATGAATTTGGCGAATAACCTTATTATATGGGCTTCGAATTTCCCAAATTTGATGGCATGCGTACATTAGGTATAATTGGTGCATACATTATGTTGTATCGTAAAAAATCATTAAAAAATCAATATTTATTTTAGCCATTATATAGTTATGGTTTGGTTTTTAATGCACACATTTTTTTGAATACATTTCATTTACACTTACAAATTATCACCACTACTTAAAAATTATCTTTTCCACATAGAAACGTTACTACTTTATAATTATTTTTATTATACTTGAATTTTATTTTACTAACCATTAACACCAAATCCGTCTCTAATGATTTGTTATAAGTATATCCATTGTCGCTGTTTTTACCACTTGGCGATGAAATTGTATAAATTGTGTTTTCACCACTCGCTCCTGGAAAAATAACAAATTATGAGAACAAAATATTATTATTATTTTTTACTTGATAAATGATAAATAATCTGTCTTTGAAGACCTTTAAACTTACGAATATATTATATTGTATGCATATCAATGTATATTGTATGAATACACACATAATATTATGTTATGATTAGTATAATTATTATACGAGTACGTTAATATTTTAATACAAAAGATACTCACCAAATGTTTTGTCATCCGAAGCATCACTCAAATGGATGGGAGCAATCAGGAAAAAGGTAATACCTTGTTTCGTATACCATGACGATACGTAGTTGAACGTATACTGAGATACCTACAGTGCGTGGCAGTGTATTTTTAATCGATTGTCATATTATTTTGCATAGTAAAATATGTATATGTATATTATATATATATTTATTTATTTATTTATTGAGTAGGTACTTACGTCTATTATGGAACTTTGGGTATCATATAGCGATTGTGCAACGGACAAGACGACTTTAACAGCATTCGCTCTGTACGGATAATCGGCCGAAAGTTTGTACGCTTTGTCTTTTGAATTTTGACCTAGACATAAAATCATAAATATATTTCTAACAGTCTGATACTTCGATAAAGTCTTATATTTTTTGTACATTTTTATCGGTTTGACGTATCATTATTATTATTATACATCTTAATTTATATAATATAGGTGTATTTAAAATTAATTTAATGTTTGACTGAAAATAAAAAGCGACCATTGAATTGGCTCCCAACATATTTTTTAACAAGAGGTTCTCTAAATATAAAAGTTGAAAAAGTACGCAACTTTAATATTTTTAGCGACACAGTGCCGGATAACTGTTTGAAATTATCTAATTGTTAATCTAATAACGCATTAAACAGTCACAACCATCGTCATTTTTATACTATTTAACTATCTATATGTATATGAGAGATTTCACTGTTATCATTAAACATAATACTCAGAGTTCGTCGCAATCCGTCGAAATTTATTTCATTTTTAATATAAATGTTGAGAGAGTCAACTCAATGCATAAATCTTGGGAGCCAGTTCATTAGCTCCTAAATAAAGACATACAGCGTATGTTATTGATATGGGTATGGTTGAAATTATTGTATTAATTTAGTCTAACTTGTATATACTTGTTATACTTGTATAACTTGGCATATAGGTACCTAAAATATTATCAATATTTTTTTCGATAACAATTTAAAACAAATTACATTCTTAATTGAATAGTCCAGCAATAAGTTAACATATACGCATCTTACCCGTAACTTTTTTAAACGATTGAATAAGCTGAGATTGCAGTCTACTTGTTTTTGAATCGTCATCTGTAGTGGTGATCTGAGTTTCTTTCCATTCCGGCATGTCACTCAATACTTTTTCATAGCTATCATCCTCATTAGTTGTATACATATGAACTTCGGAATCTGTACTTTTACCAGAGTATCCAACAAGAATAAATTTGACGTCACTGAAATTTAGACCAAAAATAGTAACTTTAAAAATTAAAATTTTAAAGTGATTAGTATTGCTTAGTTTATTCGCTTAATACTATTATTAGCTACAACTTATAAATTAATAAATTTATGAACATTTAAAAAGTGTACGCATGTATTCTTATCAAGAACGGTAAGTGATCATAATAATTTTACTAAAGAAAAAATAAATATTATTATGCAGCGTTTAACATATTTTTGACAAAAAATTTGGAATACTTTTGTTTTAACACACAGGAACCTGGAACAGACTGGGTCGCTGTTGTGCTACTGTGCATCTGCACAGTGGACTGATATAATACATTGGTGATACGAGTATAATATAATATCACCCAGGCTGGTATAAAATAACCCGATGCGATTGTTGAAATAAAATTGTCTTAATAGAAAGACTTGAGTACTAATTACTGTATGTTATTATATTAGATTTAATTTTATATAAGTTTAATTCTCTGCGTATTAGATTATTACGTAACATGTAAGTCTGTTCAGGCCATACTATTGTTATAAATTAGCGAATTCGTTTACTATTTTTTAGGCATGTAATATTATTTAACACATTGAACACGAAACTATTTTGATGATGTTTCTTTGCTATAACAAATGCTGTGTTCCTCACCTAGAATGTTAGACCTCTTATTTACATAATTATGCATCATACGAGTACATAATAGTTATGCATTTACATTTTCGTTTGTTGATAGATAACTGATAATTAATTGTTGTTTGGGTAAAATTGTGCAACCCGACTAGTCTGAATATAATTATGGATAATATATGATATATGGTATATTTACACACTAAAAATCTATAGTGGGGCTATAACCCTTTCCCCTTGCAAAAAAAAAATAAAAATATAATTGATTACTCTACGCTTATGAATAGCATTATTTTCTATAACGTTGACAACAATGAATATTTGTTGTGACAAATACCATTGACAATAGTGTGCGTATTATTGAAAATTAAATGTGAATTATAGAGTAATATTACTCTATGATCAAAATATAAAATATTTTAAACAATTTTATTTCTTAACTACAGATAACATTTAACTCAGCTGATTTTAACTTTTTATTAATTTATTATTTATTTTTAGTCACCACTCAATATATAAAATAGTGTAAAATTCTACCAAATTTTTTTCTTTGATGCTAAATATTTTCAATGCTCACCATGATTTTTTTATTAATGTATTAATTTGATAGATACACTATGATAATAAACCCATCCTTGTGGGAAATTTTCACTTAAAAAATCAGTATAAATTTGCAAACTGTTTCCAATAATCCAAAGCAAAAAAAATATTTCATAAGTTTATTAGAAGTATCTATCTTGTTAATTTTTTTTTATTTATAAGTTGTATTTTAATCTTCATATTATTTAATTATTAATTAGTAATTTGAAAAATGTTGTTATAAATTATTTTCAAAAGTATGAGTAAAAAGAAAATTGTTTACCTTGCAATAAATATATAATACATCTTAAAGGGAATTAAACTTAAATGATGCAATAAAAAAATACAAACATCTTTTACTTAAATGTTAAATTTGAAAACTAAAAACTAAGAAGTAAAATATTTTTATACACTAGTTGTTGGTTATTTTGAACGTTAGGGGAAATATTTTATCATAAAACAGTGAACCCGATTGGGTCTCATCCTTCTCCGCAACTCATTCTATTTTTCCGTTACTAGAAATCAACCTATTCTAATAACTGTCATGCTTAATAGTTAATACTTACCTGATTGATACGGTTACTCAACATTTGATATTAATTATGATTATAGTAACATTTATCACACTTTTACTAACTTAATATGTGCCTTTACCCTGTATAATCAATACGTAAATAATGCGTTACTTTTAAGTTGAACATATTTCAACTCGGACAACATATTACACAATACAGTATGAAGGCACACAGGGTCTTAAATGATATAATCATATTTACTTTATTCCATTTTTTTTAAAATTGCTCGTAATTTTTTTCATTAAAGGATTTAATATTTTTGAAAATGTTTGTTCAATTTCTACGGCCTCTTCGAACAAAATCATTATATCTGCTGCGTCGTTTGGATCAGATATTTGGACATTAGTCGTAGCGTCTAAAGTTCTTTCGTGTATCGATGTCGTTACTATATTGTAAGAAAAAAATAACATCGATAATTTAAAACGCATGAATCTATAAGTGTATTATTGAAAAAAGCTATAATTATTAAATTATATAATTATTAAAACTATAAAGTATCATATAGATTGATTATAATTTACGAAACGTCCACTCAAATACATAAAGATTTTATCTTTATCAATACAGTATATACATGAATGTTTAGATAAATTTAGAGACCGGCGTCATAATGAATGGTGCTCATAATATATAAAAGGTGTCAGACTAGGTTAAATTATTGCACTATTGTAGTATTATAGCACGGATGTATACTGTCATTACATTGAAATATTTCTATATTTACCACAAAAAAAAATATATACTTATTGCTTCACCTAAGCACCTATACTAAAGTAAAAATTATATGAGATATTCAATAATTTTTATATACATTTTTTAAGTGAACATTTTAGGACATTAATAAGAACTATAATGTAGATGCTTGAAAAAACTTACTGCACATATCAGGAATATTACAATTTAACATAAAGTTTTGTCTGGCCATGCTTACGTAAGCTTTTGCCACTAAACAAGCCTTATTCAAACTGTCTTGTTCAGATGTAGCCGAAGAAACGATTTGATTGCAAATCGCTCTATACGATGTTGGCGCAATAATTTGGAAAAACGGTCTATGTATAAAAAAAAAATTATAAGTAATTATTATCTTCGTTTCTGTTACCTGCAAAAAAAATTAACTATATTAATTAATGAATTATATGTTTACTTTAAACTAGATTTTCCAGAGAACAAGCTGGAACACAGTGATTGATCGGTTTGTAGTAAATCGGTATTAGTCGGTTCAGTATTTCCTGTTTGTCTGTATGCCAACAAAAACGATTCCATGTCATTGGATAACTAACATGAAAATAAAATTTTAAATAATACAAATTTAAGGTTTGTATTTTTTTATCATATTTTACTTCTCCGTTAGGAAGTTTGAAGTCAAATTTAGGTTCTTGATACATTGATCCTAGTAAACCACGCACTTGACCATAATAGTATCCATTAATAAATATTTGAATAATATTGAAATCTAAAGTGCATTTAATACTGACGCCAACAGCAATGTCAATTCCGAAGTAATAAACATCCCTCCAAGTTTTTAAGTTATCATTCATAAATGGAAAATTAACATCTTTGTCATTTACAATAACCTGTTAACATAATTTAAAATTAGAAACTAGAATTTGATCAACATCAAAAATTTATGTTATTAATAAAAACTAAAAATATTACATACAGTAATACAAAAGGCTTATACCGGAGGTGATTAGAAAAAAATAGTCATAAATCTAATTTGAGTATTTATATGTATAAGACTGATTGGATATTAAATAATAAAATATTATTTTATTTATAAACGTTGTTTAATGATATTTTTAAAGAAGAAATAATGTTTCGGTATATTATAATATCCTATTTACCTATTATTTTATTTGTAAATAATTGGCGTAGACAGCAGTATTTTATATAATATAAAGATTTATAGTTATTTTTTTACTTACATTTCCTCCAGAAAGTAGTACGTATGTTTCGTCATTATGAGTTGAAATCGATAATTTTGTTAAAATGTTATCCTTGTAATATGCAAGTATTGAAAACTTGTTGTTTATAAAATCCTCAGCCAGCGTATAACATCCAGTGTTTGGCATAAAGCTATAGGGCTGACCATTGTATGTAATTATATTGACGGAGTCAATAATAACACTTTGAACTATACAAACGACAAAATATATGAAGTGTGAGTTAGTAATTTTGAATATATTTTAAAAATGAATATGTGTACATTACCATCGTACGGTGGTATTAAATTCGATGGATTCAAATATTTATGATACAACTGCATATTATATTCATTGAACTCAAATAACAAAGGATTGTCATTAGCTGCATATTGGAATGTATTTGGTGAGGTTATGTAAAGAATAGTCTGGCCAAAGTTGAAAAGTTTACGTAATGAATTATACATTTTCATTGCTGTGTCGTGATCCACGTAAACGGAGAAATTAAATATCATTGACTTCACGACTATAAGTCCTTTATTTCTTAGAGTTATTATCTCACTTTGACTCACCGGTATGTCATGTATGATCTATACGATTAAATTCAAATTATACATATAAATTGCATACACATATAGTTATATACACATATTACTTACATTATCTATATACTTATCCAAAGCTTTGATAAAACTAGCAAAATCTAAAGTTGGCGATGACGCTTCTAGTTCTTGCAAATATTTGTGTATTTCCTCCCATAATTTTTCTTTGAAAGGATATGATTTTAACTACAAATAACCATTATAAAATATATGAATATAATTATAAATTTGATTTTATGCTTAAAATATTTTACTTCTTCAATTTGATCACGTAACAGGTCATAAATAGATAAGTTTTTGATATAATCTTCTGTTATGTCTTTAATGTTATTTATTGTATTTTCAAGTTTCTCGATTGCTTTCATAAATTTATCCATAACACCTAATTAAGAAAACAAGATCTAATAATTTTTTTAATCTTTAAACGAATTATCTAGGATAAGATACAGTTTGTTTTAAATTTAATTAAGAACTATATGATTTAAAGTGAAATCATCAAGTAAATAATAATTTATAATATTATTTAACTATAAGCTATTATTGAACCAATAGGAAGACAATTTTTAAAATGTATTTAATCAATAAAAATTATCTCACTATCATAGTATTCTTTAATCGAACGAGGTTCTGATGACTGCATGTCATTCATTGGTTCGTTAGTATATAGATTTAATTGTTTTAATAAGTCCCGTAAAGTAATCTCCACTTGATCGATTAATTCATCAATATCATGCTTAAATTTATTCATGAGTATATTTGCTTGTTTTGAACAATAATTATACATTTTCTTTAAATAAATTTCCATTTTTTCATTTAGATATCTAATTGCGTTTACGAAGTGGTGGCTGTTATGATCAATGAAATCAATAACATCGGAAAATACAGCTTCTATAGTATTTTTTTTAAAAGCAGATAAAATACATTGCGTTACCTATAAAATAGATTATATTATATTTTTTAAATTTACATCAACTTTGGTATTTGTGGTATATAATCGTCTTCCGAAACTTCTTTAATTATTTGTTTAAACTCATCTCTCGTATAATTCATCAATGCACGATATTGTGGTTGGGCTTTTCTTGCTTCATGCAAGCGTACTTTACGCTGTTGTTTGGCAACATTAATTATATTTTTCATATTACTGTGTATACTTATAAATATTTCAATAAATTGTCCTTTTAATGATTGCTAGAACATAAGGAATGTGTAATTTTATATTAAAAAAAGTGGACAAGTAGGTACAGTCGAGTGTACTTCATAATTTATTTAATAGTATATTTTAAAATTAGAGAAAAATGAATCATTTTTCGTTTAAATGTATAATTTTGTCAAAATTTGAACTTCAAACGTTTATAAAAATGATCGTTCCTTCGATGTATTTATAATATTTTTAATTAATTACTAGAAAGACAATTTTTCTGGGATTTTGAATTAAATTTTAGTTTTTTGGGTAATCTTAATTTTTTTTTTGTTGTTAATATTTAAAAATATAAATAGTTTAATATAAATCTAAATATTTTAAAATGTTCATACAATATAGTAAATGTTATATAAATGCTAAAGTAATAGTCTAAATTATTAAGAAATAAATTAATATTTTTACTCTTAACCTCAAAAGTAACTACTAAATTTAATTTATTACTAATAAAAATATTGAAGTTTAAAATTGAAACATTTTTATTACTCCATAATGCAGAAAACAAAATAGTTAATAAAAAATATAAAAAAAACATTATTGTAAAATCAATAAATTGATTACTCCGTTTAGTCTAAAAAAAATTCTTTAATCTATACTATACACACATTGAACATACCCAAATTTCATTAAACTGTTCTGAACTCAAATGGTTACTTGTTTCCCACCAATTTTGTTCGTCTAAGAACTTTTTTACGTATCCCACAGGTACGACGTCTTTTCCATTGTTTTGAATACGAGTAGCACTAATAACTGCTGATTCATCCATAACAAGAGAACCTTCGACCATCAGCTGTTCTAAACTTCCCGTTTTATCTAATAAAAATATACATAATTTAAATTCAAAATGAATTATCTTCCCTAAAGTAAGCACATACTTTTCCATCCCATTATGTATTTGAAACTTGGACTTGAAGTTAACGACACTTCAAAATTATATGGGCGATCATTGTAATGTATGTACGAACGTGTATTCAAAATTCCGTCTTTAACCATGATTGATGAATCAACATCGATCACGGCAATATCAAAAATGTTGATCTATACAAAAAAAGTAATAAAACTAATATTCGCATACCATATATTAGTGATTCAAATAAAGAGGGTACAAACTTTGTTAGTAAATCCTCTAGGCACAAATTCTAAATGTAGTTGAATCGGTATAACATCGTTATTCGAGTCAACGAAACGTACATCTAAATATTGTCCCCATTTCTCATTTGAAATATACACAGAATCTTTTAATCTATAACCTAATTTCATTCCCTGAATAAAAAAGTAATATAGTATTATTTTAAGACAATTATTATTGTTTCAAACGTATAATTTAATACACAACATGCTTACATCGCTTTTAGCTGTTAACGAGGCAGAATACAAAACGCCACTATCTTGAACGTCTTTATTCAAGCTAGTATGGAGTTTTAATGTTTGCTCTGTAGTGGGGAAAATATCAAGTTCCATTTGTATATTTAAAGGATTTTCCGTGCTCTTAAACATCCGAACATCGGTTTTGACACCCATTGCCTAAAATGTTTTAAGTTTCATTGATTTTTTTTATATATATACATTGGTACAAGTTAAATAATATACATTTTCATAATATATTTGATAAGAAGCTTCAAAAGTAATGATTTTTATTTTTTACCTACATTTAATTAAATTATTTATGTTACCTTATCATTAAATGTTGGCACACATATTTTTATGTCACTGGCTGTAGAAAGTCCATCTTGAAGTGAATAATAAGTATTTATGAACAAGGAGCTTTCAGAATTCGGGTTTGTTTTAAAATCTAACCACAATTTTCCCGAATAACTCAAATTGTATCCTCCTTGAATATCTTCTAAGTTATAATGCGCTAAACCTCTTATTTCACGTTGTTTATTTAAAATCCTAAATGCTAAAAATTAATATATTTTTTAGTAAAATATAATGTTTATATAATTAATATGCATGTAAGATCCAACCTGTTTTTTCAGTATTTATAAGCCATTTAAATTCGTACGAATCAGTTAAACCTTCTGATGAATAAATTTGAAGAGTATGCTCTTCATCTGATGAGTAATCACTAAATTTCTTATAAGATTTAAATTCTAATAAATTTTGGTTATCATTTGTCAAATAATGAAAAACACTCGGGGAATTCACTTTAAATATTAATTTATAAGACCAATCGAATAAACCTAAAATAAAATTATTATTATTATTATTATTATTCATTAATATATTTTTTTAATTTTATTAATTTATACTTGTTATATCATATTCCAAATTCATAATTATTTTTTGTTCTTCATCATCTATTTTGTGTATTTGTCTATAATTAAATGCGTGTTTAGTGACTTGCAAAAGTTTTTGGTATAGAATTTGCCGATCATTATGTTCCAGTGCGATTTTGTATGCAATCTAAAAGTATATAATAATGTTTAAATTATGTCTAGGTGGAACTAATTATCATAAATACCTGTTTCCCATTAAAGGATTGTTCATCTGTGTAATTTTTGTACATTATTTCAAAACTAATGGGTTTGAAATTCTGTGATTTATCGTAAATACTCTCTCCAGACACACAAAATTCACCATCTTCTAGTATTAATTTATACTTGAACCTTTTATGATTGTTAATTCATAATTATTTATCATATAATAATAAAATGTCAAAAGACTTACTTTTTAGATAGTAAAACTTGATTATTAGATGTGTAGCGAATTGTAGCAAATCCACCATCTTCAATTTCAGGATCAGGCTTATTTTTTACAGATAAGTGAACATTTTCTAAATGTGCTAATGGAAAATCAATGTTTCCACTGAAATGGATTTGATTTCCGTTTAAAAGCATTTTTCCATTTGCATTCAAATAGTTTGAATTTTGATCATCACTGGGCCATAAGACCTTTAAAGTCCAAAATTATAATTTATTTTATTTTAAAAGTTATTTTCTCTCATTCTCTTTATCTCAAAACAAAAAATTGATTGAATATTTTGATAAATATTAAAACGTACCTTAGTATCAAGTGAATACGTGTTTTCTGTTTCTAACCAAGCATGTACTATCATATAAGACTTATATTCAGAGTCGGGAGAATCAAGATTAATATTACAAGTAATATCATCTGTTAAAATCTCTATATTAACTGTAAATGTGGAACCATCGTTAATATCATAATTAAGAGCATATTCGAAAGAATCGTCTGTAGACTAAAAATAAAACAAACAAAAAAATAAATATTTTATATCAAGTTATATGTTTAATGTAGTTTTTACTGTTTAACAATAATGAAATATTGGAAATGTATACCGACCTTATGTTCCGTCTTAATATGATATCGTCCAAATGTTTGCGGATATATTGAATTAAATTCCAAATTACTGCCTTTTTTATTTTTATTTTGAATATATTTTAAATCTCTATACCCAGTATTTGATGAGTCCGAAACAAGAAAATGTTCTAAAACCCCATTAACGAATAGCCCTGTTTCTTCAGTCCTTGGCAGAACAGTGATGTTAGCTTTAAACATGATACCATATAATTAATATAAGCAAAATTATTTATTCTATATAAGTGCTCACCATTAAATGCCGTATCGAAGAAATTGGAAGCCGAAATATTTCCGTGTATAGTGGGTTCACTGTTTTCAATTAGTATGTCACAGTTTGCTTCTAAATATTCATTATCAAAGCGGATATAATTATTACTTAAGAATACAAATGGGGATTTTATATGAAGTTCGTGAGATGTAAGTAAATTCAATTTCTTGACATTGTATAGTAAAGCAATAAATTTGGAATTTGGTTTATTATAGCTTCCATCAGTTTCCAATTGTTGATTGGCTTGTTCATTTCTAGTCATATCTAAACTGAAGTCCAATTTGAAAGTTGGATAATCTCCACTAAGAAGTCCTTTCATATTAATAGTAATATTGTTAGCAATTAAACTAATATCCCCTAAAATTCCCTTGTTTTCAAAAGTAAGCGACCCTTGTAAAGAATGTCTGCTCTTTGGAGTAACAACAGCAATGTCTCTTAAAGTTAATTTAGTTGGATAATTACTTTCAGGATTCGTATTACGTTTCACGAGAACATGTCCTTCTATGTCAAACACAGGTACGAAATCATGTTTGTTTTTTTTAGTGCTCACTTTAGCTTCAAATATTGGTGAATATTTTATTGTTTCAGCATCCATCTCTTCACATATTACTCCAGCACTAAAAACGTGCTGGGAATCATCAATATATTTAACTTCTATGGTCTTTTGTTCATCGGAATCAACTAATGTGCCTTGTAGAGTTACTTTGGTGTATGGAGTTTTAAACTTCGCTAATAATACTTTATCTGATTTAGTATCATAAGCAACGACTAATTCCAAACCACGTTTGATGTCTGTATTCGGTGTAACAAATATGAACTTAATATATTTTAGCGTTGGTGCTATAAAATAATTATAACAAATGATTGATTGATTAATTGTTGAACATACAACTGATAATTACATATTATATACTTACACTTAAAGTCATAATTTCCTTTCACAACATATTTAGTTAATTTTTCATCGACTTTAAAAATTTTTAAAGAAAATGACGATGGACCAGAAAATGGTAGTAAAGATTTTAAATCTCCGTTCCATGGACAATCATAATTAATGAAAAACGATAATCCTGTAGTATCCTTAAATTTTTCAAATGTTCTTGTAAAAGATTGCCTAGAAATAAAATTGTTATTATTCATGTATTTTAAAATAAATATTTTATTATATTTTCCTCGGGTATATTACATTTCAACACCTGTAGACAAAAGAGGTACTTCAATCGATTGACTTCCTTTTTCTTGTACTGTCGAATAAGCTCCAGATTTTATAGTTAGTATATCCATAACGTCTAAGGGAAGTCCATAAACCATTTCAAAACCTCGTTTTTGAACAGTCTCTAATGAGAAATCAGATCCTGTGGAAGTATGGAGTGAGGACGCTAGTTTATAACCAACATCAACAGCATATCCATCAATTGTTAATATAGAGTTAAAATCAAGTGAACCACTGAAAATAATTATTATAAACTAATCAATTACAATTCATCACAATTAATTATCATTAATATATTTTGTATATTTTATTCATTTTCTTAGTCCAATATATAAAATAAGCAAGTGAATCGTGGTATAATATATAAACTAAATAACAGCGACGTTTTAAAAATTGTAACCTAATAATAAAAATCACAGTAATACACAAAATATTGGTTAAGTAGAACTATTTAAATCATATATATGTTTTAAAGAAAATTGAACATTTGCTTAGTCTATTCATGAATAAATATCACTTTAAAATTTTACTTATAAAACATGTAGTCATGTTCAAAATATGAAATGCTAAAATTTACTTATATAATAAGATACATTTTTATATTTATGATAAATAGTTTTAAATACTTACCTAGGTATAAATTTGAGTGCAAAGTTTGAATTTTCTGGATGTTCAAAATAACTTTTTAAGTCAATCGTAGTAGCTATATCAAATTTAATTGCTGACGTAGCCTTGATTTTTAAGGAAACTGGAAGTCCAGAACATGTTGCGTATTTATTGTCGAAATCGACAATTGGTATTTGTTTCCTTATATTCAACTAAACATATACGTAGTTATTAAATGATCGAGTAGATGTTTAACAAAAATAAAGTTAAAATAATTATTTACTTCTATGTTTTTTTTGTCAGTCATAGAATTATCAAAATTTTTAAGTATAGCATCAATTATATGTTGATAAGTAACTTTTTGTTCAAGTCCTTGGAATGTAAACCAACCAAGATCATTTCCGAATAATTTAAGTGCTATATCAATATACATTTTTTTCATTTCTTCTTCGGGAATATTTTCACTAGACTGCAAAAAATCAGTGAATAATATAACTTGTATGTATAATACACTCCTTATTCTAGCATGTATTTATACTATATGACATTTAACAGAATATTTCAAGTTTTGTTAAAAATCTTAAATTCTAAATATTTTACAAGTGATCATAACTTAAAATATTTGTCGTAATAAAATTTTTTATGCCTGAATAAAATATAGTTCACGATAAAAAAAAGGCATAGTGTCATGTGATTAAATAATATAAGCTGTTTAACTTTAACAAGTTATATGATTTAAAAAACAAAAATGTTTTAATTAAGAACTATTTATTGATATATTATTAATAAATTACTTACTTGTTCAGAATACGATTTAGAATCTACACCATTCTGTTCCCTATTCTTAGCATAGTTGATTGCCTGAGTTATATAATTTTTAATATCATCGAAAGTAGATCCTTTACTTTTTGCAAAATATCCTTCGGGTCCAAATAGTTTTTCCAATAACGGTTCCAAATTTTCAAAACGGATATCAATCTAAATTATAATATGGATTAGTTAATATAAGGAATCATATTAATTAAATACAAGTATTATAATGTTTACATCAAAAACATCATATTGACGTCCAAATATGATCGTTTTAAGTGATGCCGAAGAAGATCGTGCCAAAAAAGTCCTTTTAAAAATATGTATGATTAATTAAAGAGTTTTAAATTCAGTTAATAGTTATACTGTAATAAGTAAATATTTTATTACTTATATGAATAAATAACTTCTCCGTCAAACAAAAATCCACTATGTATTAGTGGACATTGATGGTAATATTCCAATTTCTTTGAATAACGTAAAATGTCATTAAGTGGTTTTTTTGATGACTTAGTTATAATTCTTTCATAAAATCTTTTTTGGTCTAGTTTATTTTCATCTCCGGTCGTCTGTAAGTTACTCAAGTAGCTAAGTAAGTAAGCTCGGACTAAAATGAAAACAATTATTATAATGTCATAACAAATATGTCAGTTTTATTAATATAAACGTATTGTAATTAGAAGAAATATTAAACATGTATGAATATTTTTACATAATATTACAGAAGAAATATAAGTTTTAATTTTCTGAAATCTCACATATTTTCTGTGATTAATGATCACTGATCATATTAATGGATTCTCGCCTAAATGTCTAATATTTATTATAAATAGTAAAAATAATGTATTTAAAGGACATCATAACACTATTTTTTTATTTTCATTTTAAGTTTTTGGTGTATTATTGTAGTCAAAACAATGAAAAATGTTTTGGTAAAAATCCAAAGTTGAAAAAATGATTATTCAACGATAAGATAATAATGAGAGTAAGCTAATGAATAGCCTCGTGACGTCATAGTGCCGACGAGTGAGCAGCCGCCTACTTCTTACGTGTAAAAGTAGTTTGATTTACACAATTACACGATAATTTTAATAACTTAAAATAGTATTTCAGAATTTTTTTTTCATATGTGGTTAAGACTATAGGGTGATTTAAAATTGAATACCTATATCTTGTTGTTGTATACATATTAAAAATTATAATTTAGTAAAATTATTGAGTTTGCGATTCGTGTCGTATACTCGTACTCGTATAATAACCAAATTTTACGAAATTGACTATAATAGTTTTATCTATTACAAAAAACTAAAAAGTATATCAAAATTATAATCACACCATTGTCGTAAACACAAAAAAAAAGTTTAAAAATATTATATTTAACGATTGAAATTGTAATCGTTGTGTTAATCTAAACATTTTTGTACGTAAAACATACATGCACCGCTGTTCCGACTTCGGCTCTATGACATCATATCAATGGCGGATCCAGGGGGGGGGGTAATAGGGTAAATACTCCCCCTTTAGCTTAAGTTAGGTTACCCACTAACAATAGAATTACGATAAATTGTCAATCGAGGCTTGGCATGACGATTTATTAACCCCCCCCCCCCCCCCTGATAAATTTCTGGATCCGACCCTCTATCACATACATATTTTCAAAGGCCTGTATCACATTGAATAATTATTAGAGTTTAGGTGTGAGACCCGCATCATATTTTTTAGAAAATGACATACTTTAAATCTAAGCAAACTTGTTTTTAGTGTTGTGATGTCCTTTAATTTGTACGAACGAATATCTTTATTGCATTGTTATGGACGAAAAAATTTAGCATATTAATATAAGAAGGTAAGTATATGTATATTTTTTTATGTTAATTGGTTGTTTTGTGTTATCTTAAAAATCACATCAATTAAATATTAAATCTAAAACAATAATTCTCGATCAAGTGATATAAACGTTTTTTATTAATCTTACTTTGAAGTTGAGTGTTTTTGTCATCTAATACATTTTTTATAACAGACGCTTTAGAGTTGGATGGATTAATGGCAAATACTTTGAATGCTAAAATACGTGATTCGGAATCTTCCATGGTATCAGTAAAAATGTTTTCACAAGCTTTCTCCACCTAGATATAAAATGTAATTAATTATAAAGATTTAAAATTTACAAATTTATTACTTATAGATACAATATTGTTATCAAAATTAACCAAATAAGTATATACCTTAATTTGTTTTTATAATTAACTTAACGATAATGATATATTTGACTCGTGAAATGGAAAAAATAAATATAATTGAATGTAAATTTTATTGTATATGGACCATAGATCGCAATTTAAATTTAACACACGTACCTTCGAATTTTTAGCATAGGTTTTAAGCATAGCTAATGATGCTGCTTTAATCCTTTGATTAGTATTTTTATCCATCGTAATCTGAATAATCAAATCTTCTAGATCACTATTTATGTATTGCGCATAGCCGATACCTTTTAGACTAGCAATAATTAGATCTTCGTCGTGAGCTGATAATGAATCATGGCCCACATTCTTTAACGGAGCTCCTAAATTATTTAAAGTATTTACTACTTCAGGGTTATTAAAATCTTGAGTGTCTTGTAAGTATTGTCTTAACAAAGCGCCAACTCCAAGATATCCTTCTTTTAAAGCTCTGTCATTGAGCAAGCTCTAAAAATAATTATGACATTTTTAAAATTTCTGTTTCATTTTCAACGATAACACACAAGTAAAATGTGAAAAATATTTTATTAAATTTACTGATGCTTTGACCACTGCCTCAATGGTGGGGTGTTTTGCATTTGCCAAGTTATTAAACCATGAAATAGTTAATGAATCGCTTAATTTATGATTTTCTATGAGTTCTACAACAGCTTCAATAGATTCACCGCTATTAGCAGCCATAAGAGCATTTATGAAAATTCCCCTACAAAAGTATTTTTAATGTATTATAATAATGATTTAAACATATTAATATTATTTTAATTGATATTTTAAATAGTAGGCATTTTTCATAATTTTATTAACATACTCTGCAATTTGGGTATACTCAGATTCACCGCTATCACTCATTATTTGCTGGAATGCAGAAAGTATGTCGTCCTTTTTTGCCACTTTTAACAATTCTATTAAATTTGAAAAACTATTGCCACCTTCTATATCGACAACTGGCTCGAGTTTGGTCAAAGCCAATTGAGTTGCAGCAACTAACGCATCCGCATCAGCCGATCCAATTATTGCAGCTGGTTTTTCAAACATTATAGATTGGCTTTTGGTCAGACGGTTTAATGAAACTAAAATTAATATGAATGTGTTATACGATAATATATTTAGCATATAAATATACATTCATGTCTCGTGTATTATGTATGCGTATGTGCATGTGCATTTATTGGGTTATGTGTGTGTATTAAAAAGTTAAAAATAATTTTTTGTACTAGGATTAATCGTTGATATTTTTGCTAATTGCATGGTCATGGAAGCCATTATTTTAGTTACTACGTCGATTGCGCCAAACGGTTGATAGAGGAAAGTCTCTTCATTGATGACCGATATTAATGCGGAATCTTTTATTTTGATTTTAGAACGTTGAACGGCTGTTGAGAATGGAGAATCTTCATAAACCTGTACAAGTATAATTCAAACAAGATATTAATATATCAACAACTTAACTTGCTCGTCTATCGTGTTAATTATGTAGGTGTATATTATATATTTATATAGTATATATATATATATATGTTGTATTCTGACCGGATACGATTGTGCTGATGATAATCCCAATAAATTGATTTTTTCGTGCCCCGTGCATTGTGTAAGATCTTTCTCTTTCATTATAGTGAATTGCGAGTTCGACAATGTCGAAGGATAATATGTAGTATTGCACGTTCCTTGAACATCAGTCTAATTGCATATTAATTATAATATTATAATATTTATTATAAAAAAGATAAATTATAGGGAAAAAATAGGTACCTCAAAAAATTCTTTTTGATCTTCTTGTATCGACGACACTTGCAATGATGATATAATTGCTCGTTTTAAATTCAACGACACAGTAGAATCCTGTGCCATTGAACAGATATTCTGACCAACTTTTCCATTATTGTAAGAAAACAGTACTGGATAGCCTTCTAGCTCCTGCAAGTCTGCTTGGCTATACGCCTGTGCCAAAATATACAACAATTATTCTTGATAATTCTGCAGTTTTGCAGAAAAAAATATTCATGAAATATGAAAATAACCTAACCTTTGATCCTTGAGTTATTACAATATTTTTAACATAAAGGATGGCACCACATTTTTGTGTCCCGATTATACTGGCTCTTCCTTTGATCGATACTTCTGATATACCTTCTTCGGTATCAGTCGGAGCAATAATGGTGGTCTTACCACTAAACACATACCCATATTTTTTGTTCTCATCAAACAGCACATTGTTATTTGAAATTCCTAAAAGTGTATTTTATGATTTATTTTTTGTTACCGATACACCGACCGTGATAGAGCAATGTAAATATATAAGCATATTTCAATATAAATTTACAAACCATCAGTACATTCCGTGGAACATAATGTTAAACTTTCTGTGTAATCCGTAACAGCAACTTGCAAAGGATCTGAATAAGAAAAAATTAACTTATTTTAATTTCAATTATTCTACATATAAGATATTAATTATTTATATTTTTCTATTTTAATTGTACACAACATTCATTTTCATAAACGATTAGATACTTTTTTGCTGTCAATAAATAAAATCGTATATTTTTTTATACAATATTTTCTCAAAAAAAATTACTGAGCTGAATTTATAATCGACCTTTCTTATTACCTAGTTAATTTCATGACCAAGTTTACAACAATAAAAACAGTCATGGTTAAACATACATTAATTAACTCCAAAAAATCACACATTAATTAAATTGTTTCAAAATATATGAATCATTAAAAAAATATAATAAGTCAAAACAATATTCTAAACATTTTTTTTTATATATATATACAAGTTATAACGATAAATCGGTAAAAACTTTAAAGCCAGCGCGTAAAGACTTATAAGTTACAATTTAGAAAAATTGTTTTACAAAAATGTCAGTAATGGTAAAATAACCATCATACAAAGAAAAATTATTATCAGGGTACATGGTACTCGTAGTACTACATTTATATTAACCGCGCTTAAAATAAAAAAAAATTGTGATAGCCGGTAACCCAAATTACGTGCACAATTTTTTTTTTTTACAGAACTGAATTTCATTCTCGTATTTTTCATGACAGATTCGAACTACATGAGTAAAAATTTTAATAAACGACTGGTTTTTGACAACCTTCATTTAATATGTCGTACAATAAAAAATATATAGCTAGAAATATCGAAAAATTGTAATAGATTTTCTCAGAGTGAATAGTGTGATTAGATTAATAAATGGTAGAATGATAATTACATAATGTTATTAACGTTATTATTTGATAAATATATTTAATTATCTACAGAAAACACTATATATATATATATATAATAGATTTAACCAGATTAATTTTACGCGATGTTTAAAAATATTTGAATAAATAAAGAAATCAAATACTTGTTTTATTACTTTCAGGATGAACTATTTTCGATAATATTTTATTTTTTGAAAAATGTTCAATGCATTTTTATTTAGTGTGGATAGAATCATAGAGTGATCACTAATAATCATCACAAAAAAAGAACCAACATGACGAATAATAACTTTAAAAATATAATCATATTTCTAAAGAGAATAAATAATTATTTAATAAATAGTATGATTAATCTGATTACCTTGTAGTATGTTAATTATATTGGGTTACTTATAAAACTACAAAATAATAACTAAAAATATTTGAGTGATTAGAACTATTTAAAATAAAAAATATTTAAGTAAAATGATTTTTTTTTTTTTGAGAATTCTTTACAACAGTGAGTATACAACAAAATAAAATATAGATATACTAATATTTATGTATCAATTAATATCTATTTTTAATTTAATTTTTTTCATTTCAATCAATTTTTATTTCGAATTTCAATATTTTGTTCTAGTTTTACGAACTTTAAACAGTTTGAATCACAATTTTTTATCAAATATGTATAACATTACTTATATGTCAACATTATTTGAATATCAACTAGTATTTTGGAAAATTTTTGATACTTAAAAACCTGATCAACTTAACTGAATATTAAATATGTCAATCGTATTTCATAAAAATCAGGTTTATTGCAAGAAAACCACTTACGCAATTTGACTTTGATTATGATTTGTGTACGCAATTCGGAAACACCGATATGACTTATTATAGTATTGCAAATATTCATGATGTACTCGTAAGTACTAGTACTAATGCATTATTTTTATTAAAATCAATTAAATAGTAATATAAATTTAATAATAAATCTTCGGGGTGCTAAAATTAAATTGGATACCGTTATTGTATAAATATATATAACCGACAGACGGAAATCACACGCCTACCTATAGTTTCACCAATCCAGGTAACTACGACAGTAAATAATCACTTATTATCTTAAATTAATATTAAAAAGAAACATTTTTATACATATACATTATACGTATATATATTTGTATGGGTTCATGTTTTTTGATTATTTAAGATTAAGACTAATAACTAACAAAGTAAGTGTAGGTATACTAATTTTAAAATTTTAAAATACCTACTATGCAAGTATTCAGCCTTAATAATTATTATAAGAAGTATACTTTCATACATTGATAAAAGTATCTAATAGAAATAGCAATAAAGAATGATTATTAATTTAAACAATGCACATTGCACATGCTATGAATAATTTAAAAATATTTTTAGTTAATTTAATTTAATTTATAGATAAAATTTTAATAACATTATTTAAACATAGATACAACTTACTCGAATGTATTGAAAAAGCTAATCCTACTACTAGTGCTAGTAGGAATAACTTTATTAAGATTTTCATGATTAATGAAATTGGTTCTCGCAGTTTATAGTCTCACATGTATCAAGCAAATGAATTATACGACCTTTCCTTTCCTAAAAATAATAAAACTATTTTAAAATGGTATTTATGATTTAAAAATCCCATACAAATCAAGGATATGCATATACCTATTGATAAAAGTAATGTTTAGTTTATTTTGTAATTTAATTATATTTTCTAGGTGGATTGATCAAAAAACTGTATATGGGCCACAACATTTTTTGATTGGTTTTATTCATGGCAAATTATCATTGAATAATACTTTGATTTTTCCATGAATATAAGATGAATTATTATTTAAATATAAATAAAAATAATATATAAATACTTAGGTACTGAAATTTCAGATTATATCTAATTACTGAAAAGATATATTACTAACAATACTTTCCATATGAATATAACAATTTAAATAATATGGAAAATTAATGTATTTGTGGTGAAAATGTTTTCCAATTGTTTAAATAAAAAACAAATAACCAAAGATATTTTTAGACAGTAAGTACATAAAATAAATCACTTAATACACAATTTTAATTTTTTTTTTTTTGTTGATTAATCATAGAACAATATACTTTGAGAATAGATAAGTATAGTTAAAAAGGATATGAAGGTGAAGTATCATTTAGTGTACATTGTAGAGTGTTCATTATATTTTCAGAAATAAATTGTATATTTATTTTTTTTTTAAGATAATTCATAAATAAAGTTAACAAATTTACTTACCTTATAAAATATTTAAAAACCACTTAAAATGAATGCTTTAATTATGAAAAATATTAACGGAAAAATGGTTTACACTATTAACAAAAAATAAAATAGCTAGTACGTATAGCAAACTGGTTAGATTCACTTACACTAGTATTAAAATTTGGCATTTCGAGCTTTTTATATGACAAATTTATGACAAATGAATGTCTAGCGCATGATCTTGAATTGATTTTAACGTAAAAAATAATATGCGCCCGCATAAAATAAAATAATTTGAAATTATAAATTAGCAAAAATCTACAACAACAAAAAACAATATTAATTAGTAAACACTCAAATACATTAAAATTCAGTATGATGCACGTATTGTTTATACATTTCCTATTTTTATTCATTTATTCGTACTTATATAATTTTAAATAAATAATCATATTCAAGATTAAACACAAAGGATCATTTTAAGGGTTCTGACTAAAATGTCTCGAAAAAAACATAATAACCTTTTACATTCGGTTTGTAATTTATTTATGATGTGTTATATTTCTCTGCAAAAATATATTATGAATTTTATTTTTTTTTTTGTATTTTTATTAACTATTATTCACACTTTACATATATAAACAGTATGTTAAATTATTATTTAATAAATAAACAAAATACCAACTACAATATATTCATTACATATTAAATGAATAATGATCATAAAATAGTATGAATAAATTTAAATTATATCTATGCAATAAATCTAATTTCGCTTTAAACCAAAGCTTAATTTTTGGTTTTTACCATCTCAATTACTTATTTTTTTTTAATCACTGCTGAAGTAAACTCGAGATATTATGCACTTAATCTTCAAAATTATATACCTAATACACATTGTAATAAACTAAAATAATAAACTGGAATTATATGTTTCTACTAAAAATTAGTAGATACTAACTACGATATTACGATGCAGACAAGCAAAGTAAAATGACAAAATCTACATCAATATTACGCAAAAAAGCGTACAAAATATGCACTAAGGTATATGCATAACAAATGTATAAAAATTAAAGCTCTGTTATAGGTTAGCTCTGTTGCTAGGTGACGTTTAAAATTTTTCATATTTTTAGTTATATTGATAAAATATTATTTAATTATTTGCTCGTCAGAAATGGTTAGAAATATACAGAGCTGATCATAAGTTTTTTATTTACCAAGAAAATGTTTTAAAAAATTATTATAACAATACTTTTTTATAAGCGTTTAAATTTGTAATTTTGATAAAATTTGTAAAATTATAAAAATGCTCAAATTATTTTATAGTTAGAAAAAATTAATAAAAAGTTTACTTTTTATGTCTTAGATTTGAAAATATTTTTTATGTGTATTATATTTTATACACCAACTGCCCACCAATATTTCCAAATACAATGTTTTCACAAAAATTAATTTAACCTACTGCATTATTAATAAATATTAAATATTGATTTTAGGGATTTTAATGTCTTAAAAAGTCTCAAAAAATGCCCTTAAAAAAATACAAAAATGAGTTTGAATTATTTTTATTATGGTTTAAAAATTGAAAAAAAAATTTAAACGATACTACAATAGTATTTATTTCTTTAATAGTATTATCTGTTGTACTTCTGTTTTCTTAATCATTCATTCAAAAATAATAATTTAAAAAAAATAATTGTTATCGACAATAACTTGTCATGCTATATAATTTTTATTTATACCGTCGGCAGTTTTCCAAATGTCTCTTGTTATAGCAACAATTTTTGTTTTTTATTATGAACAAATTTTGAAAAATGCTCTAAAAACTAAGAAAATGCACTAAAATCGTTAAAAAATACCTTAAAAATACATTTAAAAATAATTTTGTTAAAAAATGCAAAAAAATATTACTTTAAAATAATCAGTATCACCTAAAGTAAAATACATTTTATATTTAAGGACCAACATTTCAAAATATCAAATAAAAAGATGTCTTTGCATCAAAATCCCAGCCCTAATAATAAAATAAATAACTTTTACCTAATAGTAATATCAAAAAGATAAGTGTATCCTACTTCGCTTTACTTCGGGTGTTGAAGGGGTCACAAGTGACAACTATAATGTGTTAAATTTGAATTTAATGGTATGAGCAGAAACAGTCTATCAGTTTAAAAAACGAATCACTGGAATTTACATGCATTTGACAACATAATCCAGTGATATATTTATTTTACATAGCTATTAAAGTAATTTATTTTATTCTAAGTTTTATATTCGTAATAAGATAAAATAATTTTTTCTAAAAACACTATATCTATAATATTATTCGTATTTAATCATAATAGACAATAGTGATATATATTTATACCATATCATGTTATAAACTTATATAACACAAAATTTAATAACATATTTCTGTAGACTGTGCCTATAAATATCGTAAAACAGTAAAAATACGTAGTTTCTAGTAACTAGTAAGTATCTATAAATAGATATTTTAGAATTTTTATTGTGTATTGTAAAATTCATAATAATATAAAAACATAACAACTTAAGTTCCCGCGTATAATGTTTTTAAATTATTACAAAATAGTTAACATATCATTAATTATTGTTTAAATAAATAATGTCGTTCAAATTTAAATTTAAAATGTTTATGAAAAATATTTGTCTTTATACATTTTTTCTTCTTTTGAAATACAAAAGAATTTTGTAAGAAGAAATAATTATTGTATGGGTGAATACCAAATATAGTAAACATTTGAACTTGAAATGTTCATGAAAAGTTAATTTAGCTTTTGGGTTGAATTTTTTTTTTCATGTAGAAGTTGAAAGCTAATAAAGAATCTTTTAATAAATTTTGAAATCTAAAATATACAAAAAAACATTTTAATGAATTTCTTCTTACAAAATAATTTACTAATTTTCGTGATTTATATGATTTTTGTCAAAGTTTAAAACTTTAAACACTAATAATAATAAAATTTGAAATTTTCGATATTTTTTTAATTAAGAAATTAAAAGCAAAAGCTTTGTATTTTTAATCAACATTTATGAAAAAAAAAAAAATGAAAATTTCTTATATGTATAAGTAGCTCAAAAATCATTGAAATATTTTGAAAATTTTATCATAAATAGAAAACAATAATAAAAAAATTTCTGAAATTTTTTTTATAATTATTCGTTTTTGAGTTACATAAAAAAAAAACAAAATTAATTTTGTTAAAAGTTGGATTTGTGAAAGAATTTCCGTTTTTCCCTAATTTTTTGATTGTGTTCTTGATTATAAAAAGAAGTAGGTATTAGTAATTTTGAAGTATGATCTCTTTAAAGTACAAACTAAATCAAATTTTAAAACCAATACCACTTCCATTTTTGTAAATCAAAACATTTTTTCGACAAAAAAAAACCACATCATGATAAAATCAATACATTTATGGTTCTTTTCAGTTTATAAAAAAATTACATGAAATATACTTAAGTGGTATAAGCTGATAAACCGTCTCTGCTCAGAATCATTTTTTGTATACAATAATATACTACTGAAGTCTGAATTCAAATTTAATACATCCATCACAACCATACATATATTGCTACATAAATACATTCATCACTCAGATATGAATCTAAAAATAATTAATAAACATGTTTTTTACAATTTATGCAACATGCATTAATCTTAGGAGCTTGTAAATTGTTATATTATTCAAATTCAGAAAGAAAAAATAATTAGTTTTATTTTTTATTTAGAGTGCATAAAATAAAATTTGATCTATGAAATCATTTTATTATGAAATTCCAATATTTCAAACTCTTATGACTGTGAATATACTTAGTATGAACATGTAAATTCATACAATTCTGATTTCTTGTCATAATATATGATATAAATCAAATAGGTATGACATATTTAAAAATTATTTTATTTTATAAAAATTATTAATTATTATTTGTCAATTTAAAACTTGTACAATAAATTGTACATTTAGTACCTAATACTCAAATAAAAATTGTATTTTAATAAACATAAAATTAAAATAATAACATGATAATAAAAAAGTTTGTTTAAGATACTTAGTCAATTTTATTTTTCAAAATAAATTTGGAGTAGCATTTGCAAATTACAGAAATGTTTCAACAAAACAAAATATTAATCACTAATACTAAAAAAATAAATCACCTTTTGCTTAAAAATACACAATTAAATAATAAGGTGCTACTAAAAATAAAATAATAATAAATAATTAAAAATTAAAAGTATACAATGTTGAGATAAGAAAATAATATCATAAATAACATTTATAATTTAGAATTTAGATAATAATGATTATCTAATTAAATTTAATATGCTAATATTGAGTATTTATGTATCAGCAAGACTATGAAAAAAAAATAAATAAAAATACAATTATAAATTGTACCCAATCAAATTTATAAGTCCCCCTCCTTTAAAAACAAAACAAGAACAATAAATACTGTAGTTTCAATTCGGAAGGATAAAAAAAATACTTTTCAAATGCATAAAGTAAATATAAAAATAAAATAACAAAATTATAGTAATACAATTTGTTATTGTAGGACGAATAAATAAATAAAATAAGTTAACTTATTTTTTAACACATTCATGAGAAATATTACAATTTGAAAAAAACTCTGTGCAACAATTAAATAAAGTTTTACAAAGAAATTTCAAGGAGTAAAAATAAATAAATAATAATAGTCACTAATATCCAAGAATTTTCTCTTAAGAATTTTTGTAAGTGAGTTATATAAAGCAATGATTACAGTTGACCGTTTGCATATCACAACAATGTACTGATCAGATGATGTGTAGTAAGTTGATTAATGAATTGCCACCAGGCCTTAGTAATTCTGTGTACCTAGGAGGAAACTATAATATGATTTGATGGCATCTTCAAATAGTTTTTAATTTATGATAACGTAGTGGAACTCAAAAATCGTCATAAATCTGGAAACCTAGATGGATCTTCAACATAGTTTGCAGGTACTTCAAAAAGATCAGAATCTATGTCATCGCGAAACTCAAAAGCCTGGAATGTGATCTTAGCAGACACTGTTGGCAGTATTGGAATATCTATATAATTAAATTCAAATTGAATTACTATAAAGAATAAGTTCCAAGAAACATTCTGTTTTGCACATATTATTCAAGAATAAAATTATAAGCCATTAACACAACATACCTAATTTGACTGGAAACCCTGGTGGTAATTTTAAATTCACAAAGTCGCGTAGTTTAGCAAAATGTTTAAATGGAGCAGTAACTTCTAGCACATCCATTAACATAGCAACTGATAAAGGAAAATCCATACTCTAAAAATAAAGAATTATCATTTCATAATATTTTTTTTTTTTTTGCAAATATTAATCTAGATTACTTTAAAAATAGATAAAAATATTACCATAGCAACTGTTGCTTTAAATCCTCTTGTTGTGTTTTTAAAAACCATTTCCCTTGCTAGAGGTGGATGTTGTCCTGCTGGAGATGTTAAATACTCTTTCCAAGTGCATATTGCAGGCATTGGGGGAAGAAGTGATTCTCGCCTAACAGGCTTAAAAATAAGAAAAATGGAATAAATTATGATTTAGAACCAAACATACTTTAAATATTAAATTCCTTACTTCTCCATTGCAATCAATATTAATAGCACATCCACCTTTCGTTAAACTCTCAATGATTGCTTTATTTTTTTGTAGATCTTCTTCGGATAAGTGTTCTCTTCGTTTTTTCTGTTCTAATGTTAAACCATTAACATGATAAAAATCAGCATTGAAATCTCCAATGGTTTCCTAAATTTACAATTTTTTATTATTAAAACTATATAATTTAATAAATTCAATAAACATAATTTTTTTCCTTCACTAGAAAATAGATACTCATTAATTAGTATTCAGCTTATTAACATGATGTAAAATGTAAAATGCATGTACAATAAATTTTTTTATAAATATATGGAACTCGCGTTGTATGCTATCTACCTGTACTTAGATTGCGTTATATGTTATCTACCTTTTGGGTGATATCTACTTTGTACAGAGACCACGATTAAAGATATTTAATCGTGACGGAGATCAATATTGCAGGTATAACCGTATAATTATAAACATCAATAATACACACTAGTACACTACACTCTACAGCCTATACTTTACATATCATAGCTAGTAGACATATGACTTTCGGTTTGGTTCGTAGAAGTGGTGTGTGCTTAAATTATTTTATTATTTTATTAAATTATTTATATAATTATTTTTTGTTAAATCAAAATGGAACATCAAAGTAAAATGTGGCATAAAAACACGTGGTACAACTAACTTATTGGAACGGCAATTGGTGGAAGAGTGGTGGCGTTCACTCTTCCATTAAAGAATCTTTTTGACCAGTTTTTTGAAGACATGAAAAAAAGTATTTTTATGTATTAATGCCCAGATACCCAGACGACACCTACAATCTATAGATTGCAGGGTGGAAAATTGTAGATAACATACAACGCCAACACACAATTGTGATAGATACATTTTTCAAGTAGATAGCATATGACGCGAGTTTCAAATATATTGTAATCAAATTAACTAAAATGATAAAAATTTTATAAAATACATTCATACTTTTCTGTCTTGACGAAATATCCATCCTGATTGGGCTCGAGAAAATGTTATTGATTTGGTAGACATCTGTGCAGTAACTATATCAGTACTCATCATTAAATCAACTTCATCTTCAATTTCCGATTCAGTCTCCTTAAAAATTTAGTACTATAATTATATTCATATTTTTCATGTTTTATAAAATATAATTAATTTTCTTACTAAATATCTGACTCTTTGGTAAACACCAGCTTTATTGTCCATGACAATAAGAGAATGTGGTGGTTTAGCATCACCATCAAACAGAAACGTGATTTCTCCACGTTCCCATTTCATATCATTCATTGCAAAGTCTACTAGTGTTGTATCCAATCTAAACGATGTGCCTTTTTTGTGTATCTGACAAAGATCTGAAGGTAGAACTCGAGAAACTAATGGCACTAAAAGGATTAAGAAAATTTGTCAATAATTATTATTAAATTATTAGTATTTTACTAAACATTCAAATCGAAGTTTAGTAAAACTAATCAATATTCACCCCAACTCTGAAAATCCCATTTTATTTGCATATAGAAATCTCCAACTTGTTTCAATGCAGATACTAAATTAGGTCGTCTTTCTTCAATCTGCTCTCTTGCTTGGTGTTTCATTTTTTTTAATAATGATATAACTATACCAAAATTGAATAGTTAAAAATATCTTTTAAAATTTAAATACATATTTATTTAAAAAATATTAAAATATTAATACTATAAGTGATCATTATTTTATTTAAATTATTGAAAGAATTAATGTACCATTTTTATTTATTTTTTCCAGCAATAGACTATTTTTATAATATTCTTGAGAAATTTTTTGAATTATTTCACATGAAAAATACTAGAGATTTGATTTTTATTGGTTCTTATAATTATTTACAGTTTAAATTATATATTAGATAAGTTAATAATAACTATAAATAATAGTTTATAACATTAAATAATATACAATATGTCAATATAATAATAAACATTTTAAGTTTATCTGAGTTTATGCATTTACAAATTTTAAAATTTGATCAAAACAACCTTAAAAATATTTCAAATAAAATTGCAATAACTCGGAACTTTTTTTGTAACATTACTATAAATGAAACTAATGAACAGTAATTTGCCATAACTTGTAAGTTATTAATATTCATAATATTTGCATCAAGTTTTTAACTATTTTTAATAAATAAATATTAAATAAGCTTTATTATTTAACTCTTCAAATGATTTAAATGAACATTAGAAAATTAGTTTTGGAGTGTAGGATTTGGAAAAGTCATACAGAATGAAAAATTTATAATCAATAGTTAATTTTCAGTATTATAATATTGATACACTAAAAAAAAAAAATAATAACAACAAATATTTTATGCATTAAATATAGAATATATTAATTTAATTCATTTGTGTTATAAAATATAAAATATAGAATTTATTTTTTATTGTATCAAAATTGCAATAAATAAAATTATTACCAGTAATTTTTACGTTACATTGATTAGTTCAACTACCAACTATATTGTTAAAAATCAAAGTTGCTTATAAATAATATAAATAAAGATAAACGAAATGTGATATACGTCTATACATTTTTTGAAAATTACAACATTGAATTTCACAGAATTTATTAAATTTAAAATAATATAATATGATATTGTTATATAATTATATTATTATTTAATATTTAGTATACATGAATGATGAATTGATGAGTATAGTGTATACTACATAAATATTAAATATAACTATAACCCACATCGAATAACGTTTTTCATGGATTTAGGTATATTTTATCCACATACTCAAATTTTCAATTGTCAAAGAACATAAACAATTTGTTTCTGGTAACACTGAAAGTATATTATCAATGTTATCAGTGATTAATATTTTTTTTTAGTTGTGAAAATTATAAATACTGAATTCACATAAAAATTAATATTGCAATTACATTCGGAGTCTTCAACTTAAGTTAGAATTTAATTTTTACTATTTATAAAATAAACTGTGAATTTAATAATCATTATTTATTTTTTTTTAATGTTTATTGAGTGTGAAGTATGTATTTTTCCATAAACATTTATAGTTAGTACAATATTATACTTTAATTTATATACCTATATAAAAAAATTAATCGTGGGCTAAGATTTCAATAATTAAAGTTGCCAAAATGAACACTGTACGAAAACTAATGCCGCTATGCTCAAAACAAGTATTTTCAGGTAAAAGATTCAATTCAAATGATTTAACAAATGATGAAAACAAGATTTTATACGAAAAATTATTGAATAAAAACTATAATAGTGAAAAACATACAGAAGCGAGTTCTTTTGCTAAATGGGTAACACCTCATTATAAATTTGGGCCTTCGCGTGTCATGAATTATGATTGGTCTATAAAATCCATGTTATCCTGGTACAAAAGAAAAAGAGTTGAATTTCACAAGTACAATCAACGTTACATATCTGAACGAGTAAAATCACTTGGAAGTGATATAGCTATATCACATTTTGTTGTTTATCGAGGAGGTGCAATAAGATTTCAAGGACAGGATAACTTTATCAGATGGACTAATAAAAAAGAAGAGTACTATGTCGATTTACCACAAAATTACGACCCAAATTATTTTGTTGAAGCTATTGATGTATCAGACTTAATGTTATATTACCAAGGACTAGAAAACTTTAAAAATCTATTTAAATTGAAATGGTTAAGTTTAAGAAATAATCCTGTTCTGGACAATTGGTGCCTGGATTACATAGGGCATGCAATACCTAATTTGGAATATTTGGATATATCTAACTGTCCTCAAGTAACAGCTGCTGGAATAGCTGGACTTCAAAAACTAACTCAACTCAAAATATTAGTGATAAATAGTAGTGATGTAGAAATTCAAATGGCATGCTTTGCATTGGAAGATATAATTCCTGGATTATTTGTTGTGATTCAAGAAAATAAAGATACTAATTACAAACAAATGGCAAAAATGTAAATATTAATGAAATATAGTAAAAATAAATTGATTGTATAAAAAGATAATAGTTATTTATTTTTTGTTAATAATAATGCTTTGAGCATTGTTAGCTTGATTTAATAAAAAATGCTTAATATTATACATTATTTGTATCTTTTACTTCTTATTTTTTATTCAAAGAAAGTGTACATTTGGTGTATTATACATGATTATGAAAAATAAAATTTACCAAACTCTTATACTTGAGAATAATAAGTACTTAAGAGATGTATACTATTTATTCATATTACTTGTGAAGTATTCTATGTTGGTTCTAATTTTTGATCGTATTCTAACATTTAGTGAACAATTTGAAAATAAAATAAAATGTAATGGTAAAATATTTAAAATTATTTACCATGTATTATACTAACGAGAAGTTAATAAATACTTAAATCAATTTAAAAAAATAATTAACATGTTTAAATTATAAAGTATGTTAAATATTAAACACAAAAACATTCTTAAGGCTATACCATGTTCTTATATGGAAAAAATTGAAATTGGATAGTTCAGTTACTTAAATTAAACGTGTAAATAAATTTATAACTTTTATAATAAATAATAGATAATATTTAATTTTGTTAAATTCAAAATAATCAAATAAGTTATAATTTGAAAAAAATAAGTTATTCAGTAAATTATCAATATTTAAACAAGATAACTATATATGTTAACAATTAAATTTGAATAATAAATTTGTATTTTATATTTGTTTATCCAATAACTAATACACATTGTCTACATAATAATGCTCACAGTAAAGCTAAATATTATATGTTATGCCACACAAATACGATAATATATTATTATATAAATAAGTTAAATCATAATATTAAGTTAATAATAAAAACACTATTATCATAATATTTATGAACCACAAATTGTTAAAAACTAATGATTTGTATGTTATACCACATTGGTAAAGAATATATTTTAAATCAGGCAATAAATAAACTTACTAGTAAGACGATCTCCATAACTAATCGCTTCAGATAAAGGGGTCCATCCATTAATGTTTTTTACTTTCACTGGTGCATTATGAGCGAGCAACAATTGTACTATATCTGAAATTTATTTCAGATAAGTAAATAGTATTATCAATGTTATGTTCTCTAGAGAATATTTGAGCGACAGGCAAAACGGCAAGATACAATTAATTAGTATATTATTGATAATGACTCATAGTCAGAACACTACTGCCTTTAACCAACTTACCTTTACGACCAAGCATAATGGCTAGATGTAGTGCTGTATTACCTGCAATAACAAATATAATTATGAAACAAGATATTCCATAGTTATGTACTGTACAAGATGCAAAGCCACAGTACCGTGTTTGTCTTTTCTTGACAGGTCCTCCGTCCTCATCAATCGTGCGAACTTTTGTACGTCACCCTCGAATACGCATTCGTGCAATGGAAACGACAAGTGCTCTTCTTCCGCCATACCACTGCCGTCACTCTTCACAATGTTGTCGTCCATTTATTTCTAATTAACTATGAGCGTAGTGTTTCATAATATAATGATTATTATTTTTCTCTTTTGCATTTGTCTATCATCGACTTTGTGTACATAATAATAATATGAATATTGACAAATATAATATTGTCGTGTGTTCACCGTGTAAACGGTGAAAAAAAAATTATTATCAATGTTTTCCAACGTCCGAAACAGTGATAACAAAATCACAATTTATTCTGTGACAAAATGTGTGAAATTTATTATCTGTTATCTCTTAATCTTTATCAGTTTTTGATCCTTGTATTTTTGTATTTATCAAAGTTGATAATAAAATATAGACATCCACGTTGGTATTGATAATATAACTTATAAGTATGTAATATTATAATTAATATAGGTATTTCAAATTTATAAAACATTTTGTATAAAATTTATTGCTAATCATTGGTGCAACTAGGGGGACTTATCCCCCCCCATTTTTTTGATTATTTAAGATTTAATGATAATTTAACCATAAGATAGTAATTAATAAGTATCTAAGATACATCCTAATAGACCTAATATCGTATGCTACATGACGTGGAGAATTATTGTAACAGAATTAAGTTATTTAGCAATATGTAATTTAATAATTGGAGACAAAAATAATTTGTGTATTTATATGTATATTATGTTTATAGCATAAGAACTTAGAAGGTTCGACAAAAATAATTACTTGGGTTTTTGGGCATTCTACAGTTTGGCGTCTATTGTACTATTAACCAATTGTTTTTTTTTCTGATATAAGTATCATATTATTCATATTGTATAAGAAACTAAATTGATCCATAATGAAAAGGAAATCAAATTAGAGTTGTTCAATAAAAAAGAAAAAGAAATATAATTTTTTTAAAAATGCTTCTATAAAATGATCGAAAAAAGCAACACTGGACAAAATAGCTATGTAAAGTTGATAAGTCAGAAATATCGTCTATATACTAAATCAGAAGATCAAAAATATTATTTATCCCCACGCGTTACGCTAAATTTTTTAGCATGTAGGCAACAAACTTTAACACGGATGCATTTTGTATGAGCAACGAAATGCACAGGGATAACTGGTTTTTATATATATATATATATTTTTTTTTACATAATTCTTTATTCAGCAATCTTTTACAAAAAAATGAACAATAGGCTTGATTGATAACATATAATAAATAGTCATTGGAATGACGAAGGGAAGAGTGAAGAGATCTCCCATTGGAGATACTTCGTCGGGGGGGAGAAAAAAAAAGTTAAAAGTTAGACTTAGTTACTTTTTTTTTTTTTTACTAATTTATTTTAGCAGGTCACGAAACCATTGTCTTTTTGACCTCTTTTGCAGAAGATTGCATGGAATGGTTATGAATGAGAGTTGATTTATGAGAGGGTTTGGGTATTGGGTTAATCGGCTATTGAAACGCTTATAATATAGTTTGGCTAGTTCAGTTACAGTTGGTATTTTAAAATTAGAATGGAGAGATTTGTTAGAAATATAGAATGGAGCTTTTGAAACGATAAAAAGAATTTTTGTATGGAATCTTTGAATACAATTAATGTTAGATATTTTTGCTGCATCCCAGAGTTAAATATCATACCTATGGCCAGATGGGTCTTATGAGAAGTTTGTAGATTAGTAATTTATTGAGTAGTTTTAATTTTTTGGATGTTAATAAGGGTCGTAAGAGACAAAGACGGTTGTTTAGTATGATAATTTTGCGTTTGATGTATGGTGGCCAAGGGAATCGACGGTAGATGTGAATTCTAAGATATCGCACACTTTGCCTACTAGGCATTAGGTAATATTTGGTTGTTAAGGAAAAGTGTCGAGCATGTGCCATGTCGAAGAGTGAACATAAAATGAGTGGACTTTCACTTGTTCAATTTTACTACCCGTTCTTTATACCATGTTTCAAGAAGGTAGAGATAGTTTTGAACCAACCGTGTCTGAAGTTTACATATATCTTGATTTTAAATTTACTCTCGTGGCGACCGTTGACCATGAATTATTGTTCGCCACTATATTGTTCCATAAAGTTTGAAAATATTAATATTAATTTATATTGATCAAAATTTTTTTTAATTAGTAAATGAATGCATTCTGAACAAATAATTTTATTTAGTATACCTCTTACAATATACCCATCAATATAATCTAAAATATCGTTGAGATAATGTCTTAAATTAATACTGTCCGATTGAGATAAATACATTTCCAGTTCAATCGCATTTACAGTGTTGGCTGGTTCAATTCAGCTACGCTTTTCTGAACGGAATTCTATAATTACTCTTTCTGGGAAATCTAAGTTAAAACAATCGCCACTTTCAACAGTTATATTTTTTGTGAATAATAATTGTCTCAGTCCTCAGAATAATTTTAAACTGAACTGAGTTAGGATTTTTGTTAGAACCCCCTTTAACTCGTACACAACCAAAAACAAGCTCCAAGTGATCTTGAGACATTTTGTTGGTAAGAACAAAATTCAGTGAATTTATTGACTTATTTAGTAACTGGTACGATACACATTAAGTACTTTTCATAAATATTATAAGATGGCTTGGCGTGGTGCGTTGGCTGCTACCAGTCGCGGAATGCGACTGAGAGTAAGTAACGGCCACAGCTAATAGTTACCGGATGGTTGACCAATCGGGATCATAGTGGTTAAAAACCTTGCCACACATACACGTGTTTACTATCAACCGTAACAATTGTAAAATACAACCAACCGTACCAACCTTACCTCTTACCATAGTTTATACCCTCTACAAACAGCTAATGGCCCTAGTTGCCAGACTTAAGTTCAATTAAAAAAAAATATATATATATTATAAGGTTTAAAGTTTAATGTAAATTACCAACCGATGAAATTGTTTAACTTGTTTAGTGTTGCCTTTAAATTGCCTATAAGTTCAACTTAATGCAGCACATAAAATAACCATATTATTATCAATTAATATAATATTAAAAATATTTAATAACCCACACAAGGTAAAAGTTAAATAAATTTAAAGTAAACACATAAAAATTACAGTCACGGCCACACAGCTCTAAATAAAAAACAAAAATGAACGTAATATGACGTGTAGATATATAGTGTATTATGTATGCTTTCTATATTATTATTATATTTTTGCCGTGCGGTGATGAGGATAACATTTTAACCGGCTGACCGTTTTCTGGTGTTTAATGCGTGCTCCAGTATTCTTATCTATCTCGATGGTTAAATATAACCAAACGAAACACGGTTGATAAGACCGAAACTGTCACATGTGATATTTTTTGTCAATTTTTGATATTATTATTAATTTTTTTTTTCAACATAATTTTTTCATTAGGTGATCTGTTACAATAATAGAACATTAAAATTAAGGTTTAATATTAGTACACACAGAGTGAAGAAATCTCCCAGAGATACTACTTTGTCAATAGATAGTTAAGACTTACAGTTAACTTACATACATTTGCATTTACATTTACATTTTTTTTTTTTTTTTTTTTGTACATAATAGCTAATGATTTATTAGTTCATATGATCATACAAACAGGTCACAACACCTCTATCTTTTTAATCTCTTCTGAGGATTACCGAGATATGCTATAGATGTGAGTTGAAAAATAAGTGGAGTGGGATGATGATTTAGTCAGTTATTAAAACTCTGTTTAGCTAATAGCTATTGAAATGGTAGAAAGGATCTCTATTAAAAATATTTACTATGATTGTTATATTCAAATTTTTACTTTATGAACATTTATAAAAAAATATATGAATTATTAAAAATATCAAAAAAATTAGGTAGATTATTTTATTTACGAGTAATAACTATAATATAAAAAATATAATAATTTAAAAAAAATTATGTGTTAATTTGCCTCTCACCCTAGTTTAAACCGTAGCTATGCTCATAATATAGTCATCTCTTATGAATACAATAATAAGTTAGAATAATGACACGGCATCGTGTATAGGCAATTTAGCTACATTCCTGTCAATGATTCATTTAATTTACTGATTCAATTTTATTTAAATTATGTTCACAATTTTTAAACACAGATTTTAAATGTTATGTAATTAACATTATTCTATACTAAGTAGTCAGTTGTGTACTGACGTAAAGTCAAATAAATTTTAAAAAATATTAAATTTCTTAAAAACTATTTTTCGCTATTTTTCAAAAATCAAAATAGCCTATAGTTAGTTATAAATAATTATTTTTACGATTCTATACAATATATTAAATACTTTAATATGTTAATTTATGTACCAAAATACAAAAATTATTTCTCATAATAACAAGGTGAAAATGTTTATACTTGATTTATATAAATTTATAAAATATTAAAATACATTAAAGTTACAAGGTGTATGTAGTACGTAGATAAATGGGTATTTTAATTTTAAAAGATTGTTTTCTCTGAGAGATTTTTATTTAAGTTGGCATCATGAGTGAGACATGAATAAGTGATTAACAAATTATGTTGTTTGATATATAATAAATATTTATGTGTATTAAATTACATATTATTTTATAAATATAAGTGGTCATAGTATAAACGGAATAATAACTCTCAATAATACGTGTAAATATATATATACTTGATTATTTAACATATCATTACCACATTGAAATAAGATATAAACATTTTACATATTATTTTAAACTTTTTTTTTCATAAAAATCATACAAATAACATAAAAATGGAAAAAAAATAATATAATGTAATAAAATAAATAATAGTAGATAGATTATATGACTTAAATTAAATTAATTATACAATAGACTCGATTTTATAAGAATAAGTTCATTAAAGAACTTAATATTTTATAGAAAACAGTTTTATTAAACTTTTTCGTAGAACCGAATCTTTCACTCTTATAAGGCAAGTACTAATTATAAATATAACTCGGTGCATTGCTACTACACCTATAAAATTTTATTAAACATTAGTCATTATATTTATTATATATCGTTATTATATAATTACTAATGAGATACATGGAAGTTGTATGTATGTTACTCATAATAAATCAGTTTAAATTAAAATATGAAAATAAACAATTTAATAATTAATGTGCAAAATACTTTAAAGTGAATGAATAACTTTCATAAATCATAAATAAGTGAGATAATTAAATTGAGTCGATATAATATTGTCGATGGATATATACTTTTATATAGTGGATAAAAATTTGATGCTATATTATATATTTTTAGTGTCTTCATAATCTATATATATTATACAATGTTGTATTTATAATTTAATATATAACGATGCACTATGTTTACTACATACATAATGTTGGATAATAAATAAAGTTCAAATAAAAAATGCATTATTTTACTTTAGTGCATTAAAGGAATTAAAAGAATACATTTTAAACTTTGCATCATTTTTGCACATATATTGACTACAATCTAAAATAGAGCCAGTTAATGATTCTTTGAAAAGGTGTACCAATTCATGTTTTGAAATAATTATTTTTGCTATGCTGCAAATTAAAAAACACGGTTTAAATATTAATAAATACACAAAATAGTACAGTACATATATAATACACGCACTATTCACTTATTATTAATATAGTATATTATATTATAGTACAAAATTATTGATTTCAAACTTAAAATTATCTTGTATGACCTAAACCAATCTCTTAATATAGACAATTTGGCAGTCCAACAACGGTTTAAATTCGTTGTATGCGAATATACGTTCGGCTATACAGATTAGGTTATCATTCTATGAATATTTATACACGATAAATATATTATAAATTGTAGGTATCTTATAAAAAGATACCAAGTCACTTCTTTGAAAATCTACATGCTATATGCGACCACGGGATCCAAAAAAATATAATATCACATGTTATTACTTTTTTATGAACATATATTGTTACTTAACTATAGAAATTTTGCTAATAACTTTTTTATTTAATCAGTTTACATTTATGGAAAATATGCCTTTTAAAAGGCAATATAATTTTAGATATGAATAAAATAAAAACTACATTTAAAAAAACTTTTTAGCTTTTAGTTAATATTGTACAATAATTTTCTTTCAATAGTCAGATTACTCACATCACGAAGGTATGTTAGTTATTAAAATATAAAACAATTAATACGATATGGTTCACCAATAGCATGCTCGTCTCCATATTTTATTTTAATAATTTATTTATTCAAATTACAATTTTTGAAATTTGTTTTAGGAAAAATTATCTTTTAAATAATTTAGAGTAGAAAACATCTTATTTAAAAAATAGATTTTAAATCTGTACAGAATACTTTTTAAGTAGTACCAAAATTTAAAAATTCCAAAAATCTGATTTTGAATAATTATAAGTGAGCATGTTAGTGGATCGCGCTGTATGTACTATATGTATGGTTATAGTATACAACCATGGTATATGACATTGATATATTACCTTTGAACAGATTGAGCAACAGGACTCTTGGCCGTTTGAAGTCCAGCCTCACAGAAAATTCTCCGTAAACACGGTTTGTCTTCGTTAACCACGTCGTTGACCACCGCAATCAGGGTGTCCAAGTATCCGGTTATCTGACGACTGTTCGCGAACCTGCCGTCGTCCTCGTGGTCTTTTAACATGGCATACACGTGAATGTAATGAGCTATCCTTGGCAATACTGACGTCCGAAAAAGGTACGACGCAGCCATGAAGAAGCTAGTAGCGAACAACGGCTCAAACACCCTATCCAGGAGAAATCGGCCGATCGCCGTCAAACGACTGCACAACGGTGAGTAACTATCCAATGGCAACGAGCCGAATATTGTTCTTCCAAACAGCAACCGTTGCAACAGTCCGGAAACGTGGAAAAACGGATATCCGAATGGCTGATAACGTTGCGGGGGTGAGAGGCCATATTGCAACACTCCATCGCTAGCCACGTCGTATGGTCCGACAGATAACGGCTGTTGCAGCTGTTGTACTCCGACCGGTTCCGGTTCACCTAACGTCCCTATATCTCCACCACCGTCCACCACGAAACCTCCGGCTGACGGTCTAATCACAACGCTACCACCGCTGACGACGACTGGACCATCACCTTTAACCGCAACTTTGGTTATGTCGGTTAGTCCTGGCGTTGAAGCTACTGCATTAGAACCGTCGCCATAATGGTGTACTGATGACTCAAGGGTTTGCCACTTTTTGTTGTCATTTAAATCTGCAGGTAACGGATAATAACCATTACCTCCATGGTTTTTGACGTTATCAGTACCGTATAATTTTCCTGCTAAAGGGTTCTGTTGTACTTCGGGATATCCGTGGTAGAAGTTGTTGGGCCTGTGAGTTTGACAATTTGCATTCCACAATACGACGAATAAACAAATCACAACCAACATTATCTTACCTAAAAAATGATCACAGAATTTAAATGAATAGTTTTAAAAATAATTTACAGATAAATAAATCAATAAATAAGTAAATCCTTGTTGGTATACATTGGAATTGGGATCAGACCATTTTTCCTATATTAACCGGTGCCCACATTAGGCGGAATCCACTGTATTAACATATTTCAACCTAAATTGTATTGTATTCACGATTGAAGTAAATTCACGATTTTTCTTTCCGGCAACTGGGACCTTTTTCCTATAAGGATATTTTAGATTTTCTACAATGTGAATAACTATATGTAGATAGTTTTCAAAAACAGAACAAAAGCCAAATTGGTATATTAATTACCCGGGATTATTTTCTAAATCCTGTAAGAATCTCACCAACACTACACTAATTGATTTCCAAATCATAACATAATTTTTGCTACTAAAACTGCTTACCTTTCAAACATACAGATGAGTTCCACATTTTGATATACTTAGAATTTATTAATTTATTTATTTATTTAAAACGGAGAAAACAATAATATATCATTCAACTTCACAATAAACATTCAAGCTAATAATTAATATTGTTGAAGTTTTACGCATTATACTCAAAATTAACTTATTTTCTATAACAAGTCACGAACATTTTTTCCTGCAGTTCTATATAAACATAAACTCTATGTGATTAGAAGATAATTAATACCAGCTAAATTACGTTGACATTATTCTATAATGTTCTTTGAACAACATTCTTAATTGTTAACCACTATACGTGTATTGAAAAAGAAATACAAAATAAAAATTAAGATTTGGTAAGTATAATTTAAAATGCATTAAAACAGATTATAACCGTTATACGTTTAGACATTATAAAAGCTATTTATCTAGTAAGTTAACAATTAAATGAAGTTCTTGTACCTATTATATCTGTGTGAAACCGTAAATCGCATTAGAAAGCGTATTTACTGTTAGCTGTTATCTGTTAGACATTTGACTTAGCCATTTGTTTAAACAAGGGGTATGCCATAGTTTATTTTTAACACCTCTAGCAGGCTAGTTTCAAATTCAAATTTATTTTTTTAACTTAAATATTATTTATTATTTTAATGATTATAATTAAAAGTAGTAAATATATCTCTAGTTTTTTTGAAATTATTATTATTATAATTATTTATCAGCAAATAATATACTGTTATAATTTATAAAAAAGATACTCGGATACCAGATCGAACAGATTGATGTCTAACAATATAATAATTAATACATAATTTCAAATGTTAGAATAATAATTAATTAACTAAATTTACATTTATTAATTAAAAATATAAAACTTAATTTTGTAACTTTTATATATCTTACTTTTAAATTTAATATTATATTTTTCATTTATAATTATAATTTAGTACATTTTTAGCAGGAAATAATTTTCTATACAGCGTGTACAATATTTACAGTCAAATATCTATATTCTATTTATATAAATAAAAATGCATTAATATATGAAATTATAACAATAAAATATAAATTATATTATAAACATTTTTATAAAAAATATATAGACCGATTTGGAATTTAGATATTTAGATAGTAGATAGCTAATTGATTTAGGACTAGGGATAGTAGGTTTCGAGTATACCCCAGTATTGTGTAAGCCACTGTATGGATGTATTAAATTTTGATTCATTAATAATAATTATTGTTACTTGTGAAACAGAATTCTTAGCAAAAATGATCAGTCTCTCTTAATATATATATTTTATTATAATTTATTTATATTACCACAAATAATTTTCATCTATATTAATATTAAGGGTAGGTTTGTTTAACTATTTTATTTTTTTAAATTACATTGATTAAATAGTAGGTATATTATATTTCATCATATAAGTATAAATATTATATCGTAATTAGTTCCTAAGTCAATATAAATATACCACGTAGAACGATGTTAATAGCATATGGGATAAATAATTAAAAATAGTGTAAATAGTTTAAATATACCATTGTAAGTTTTGTAACTATAAAAAATGACATTATACCTACTTAATCACGAAAAGTTTAAAATCACAATGGTTGATATAATTACCTACGTAGATAGTTTTTATTTGTTTAGATATTGAATTCCATAAAAATATTATCTTCAAATACCTAAATAAAATTTTTAAAAAACTGTGCCTATGTAAATATTTTCAGTATTGTTTTAAGTACTTAACTCACGAGAAATCTTGTATTAAACCTTATTCAAGTTTTAGGAATTAAAATTAAAATGCATATAATTTTAACAAATAATTTGTACCTACTTTAAACATTTACCAGGCGTCCCGTGATAGCTTTCTCTCTTTTTTTTGAAACATTGATAACTTTTTTAAGTTATTTATATATCAGACAAATTTTATAGTTTGAGAGACATGCACAGAAATATATAAGCCTATCGCCTATAGATTAAAACTTGAAAAATCTAACAAACTGTACAGTTTGCTACTTTGTTTTAATAAGCTTTATAGAGATGCATATCAACATTTCATGTTATTATATCTTATTAAACGGTTTAATTAACTTGGATAATGCTTTTTTCTAGGTATAATCTAAATTGCTTAAGTAGTTAAGTACCTATATAGTTTGTTTTTATTGCAATTGCCAATTGCCAATTAACACTTGATTGTTAGAATGGTTTTCGGTTTTTCCCGCTGATGTCATCGCTTCTGCAACAATCAGTGATACTCTCAGCCGTCAGTGTTGCCAACAAATCGATTCTAGTCACAAATCGCTAAAATAAAAATAGTTTTAAATTTTTAGTTTGTACAATTTGATTTGTGATAGGAGATACGTCCGCTCTAGCGCCAGCTGCAAAGTGTACAGACCGACAAATGACAGTAAATAGTTTCATTGAACATTGATTAGTTGAGTTTCTAAAAAAAAAAAATTAAATTGGAATATAGATTATTCAACTAGGTATCAACATAATGAATATCATTGTTTAATTACATTTATTTTATTTAAAATATATATATATATATACACGTCCGTATGCTGAAACTATGCCAAACACACGTCCATTAATACTCAAAATATACTATATAGAATAATTATTAGTTATTAACTTAGATAGGTGTCATTTATTAAGTAAAAGATGGATCACTGTAAGGATTTTATAAAAACAGAATTCCCCTCTATTGATGTAGAGATGTTTCAATATATAGAAGGTAATATACTAAGAACTTATGTACACACAATATATCTCAAGTATTTAACATTCTCAGATGTAATTTTATTGTATAAAATTGTCAACTTTGTACGCTTTATACGCCTTTTTACCTATGAATATTGCTTTATGATTACAGGTGTTCTACAAAATGGAATTGAAGACTTCCATGATTCAGAAGATATATTTGAAGCAATTGGTGAAGTATTACAGGAAATAGCAAATAAATCTGAATCAGATATCAGGTAAAACATAGAAAAACAAAATAATGATAACGTTTATGTATTGTGTATTGAGATTACTCATGATGTTGAATTATTTTAGAGGAATCTGTTCTAAACTGTTAAATTTTATGCGTCCTCATTCTGACGACAATGTTATCAGAAATGGTCATACAAAAATTCTGGATGCTCCAGTGCATTTAGCTTCAATGGCAGCAGATCTGGAAGACAATGATATGGAAATCAAAAGTATATGGGTTAATTCAAGAGACGATAGTCTGGTATGTTTATTTTATCCTTATGTCTTAAGATTACAAAGTATAAAATTGATTACTTTTTGGTTACCTATTATCAATAACGGTACTTATTTTTTTATTTTTTTTTTTATTTCATAAGAAAGTGGATAAAAAAAAACTGGAAAAAGCTCAAGCAAAATTGCAACAGAAACAAGATAAACGGACTGAGCAAGTTATTAAAGGTGTAGGAACTATGAGTGTAGTAAACAGTAAAATGGATGCTGCAACTGCTTCACAAGTAACAAGTAAAAAAGAAGCAAAACTAGAAGCTAAAGGAAATAATCGAGCTCAAGATATAAGAATAGAAAATTTTGATGTTGCTTATGGAGACAGGTAAATCAAATTTTATGTCCTTTTAATTAAATGTATTTTACGTAATATATTTTTAACTCTTCTGTTATTATAAAATTAAAAATGATTTATTACTAAGTAATAACTTATACTATTGTATTTTATCTAAATAATGATATTTTTTTTAGAATATTACTTCAAAATACAGATGTAACTTTAGCGTGTGGTAGAAGATATGGTTTAGTTGGAAGAAATGGTCTTGGGAAGACTACACTATTAAGAATGATTTCAGGGTAATATTTATTATACAGTAATAATAATATAAATTATTTAACGGATCTTATAACTTAAATTACTATTCATTGTATAGTTCATTACTCAAAACTTAATCAAAGTTTTAGAGTTTACACAGGCTTAAATTTCAAGTATTTCTATTTAGGAAATGAGATATATGGTGACATATACTCATACCTACATAACCGTGAATTATTAATGAACCTATCATAAACATATTGTTATTTTAAATTGCATTTATAAAATAATCGATTACAATAATTATTCTTAAAAAGTTTATAAATTATCAATATAATAATTTATTTTAGTTTTCAAGTTATAACTGTATTCAATACTTATGTTTGCTAATCTAGTGGTCAGTTGCGAATTCCATCTCATATATCAATATTACATGTTGAACAAGAAGTTGTAGGTGATGATACACCTGCTTTAGAATCTGTACTGCAATGTGATTTTGTTCGACACCGTTTGTTAACTAGAGAAAAAGAAATTAACACATTAATCGCTAATGGGTAAGATAACAAGTCAACTTTAAAACTGAATAATTAAAAAATAAGATATGTATTCAATAATCAATATCCAATTTTATTCTTAGGTCTACATCTAGTGCCGAATTATCTTCTGAATTAAGTGAAATATATATGCAATTAAGTGCCATAGAAGCTGATAAGGCCCCTGCTCGTGCTAGTGTCATACTTGATGGTTTAGGTTTCAACCCGGATATGCAAAAAAAAGCAACTAAACATTTTTCTGGAGGATGGCGTATGCGGTTAGCTCTTGCAAGAGCACTTTTTTCAAAGTGAGTAACTTAAAATCATCAAAAATAAAACCTATGCAATCTCTATATATCAAAATTTAAAGAATATTATACTATTCTTTATAATTTTATTTAGTTGGTATCTATTATCTACCAATAATTTAGCATAACCTTTGAAATATCTTAAGTCAAAACTACCTATATTTATTTTTAGTTCAAACTTAATGTTAAATGTTAATTGAGTTTCATTCATAAATAAAATTATTTTTAACTTTTTAATTTAAATAGACCAGATTTGTTATTATTGGATGAACCTACAAACATGTTGGATATGAAAGCAATTATATGGTTAGAAAATTATTTACAAACTTGGCAAAGTACATTACTAGTAGTATCTCACGATCGTCATTTCTTAGACACTGTACCTACTGATATATTACATCTTCATTCACAGGTAACTCATATTTATATTATTTTTATTGTCAAAACTTAATAAAGTTGTATATTTAGCGTATTGATACATACCGAGGTAACTATGAAATTTTTGAAAAAACTAAAAATGAGAAACTCAAAAACCAACAACGAGAAATTGAAGCACAAAATGCTCATAGAGCTCATGTCCAAGAATTTATTGATAGATTTAGGTATAATGCTAATCGTGCTTCTAGTGTCCAGAGTAAAATTAAAATGCTTGAAAAATTGTAAGTCATATTATTATAGTTTAAGTTTCATGTACATAATTAGTTATTCGTTTATGATATATTGCTTTAGACCTGAATTAAAAGCTATCGAGAAAGAAGTAGAAGTTGTATTACGATTTCCAGAAACGGAAGGATTGTCACCTCCCATTTTACAACTTAATGAGATTTCATTTGCATATCCTGGATGTAATAATGTTTTGCAAAATGTTAACCTTGGAGCTACATTAGAATCTAGAATTTGTATTGTAAGTAAATATATATTTGATCTATCATTGCATTTATGTTATTTAATATCTATAATTTTCATTATTTAATTAAATTTATTATGTATATTTAAATGTGCTGAACCAAAACATTGTAAGCATATTTTTTATATTAACTTTGCTGATTAAAAATACCTCATACTCATTAAATTACTATTTCATACTACTGTACTACCAGCCTTATTGTATATTTCATTTGAATAATACCAAATTCTGTACATCATTGTCATATTACTTTAGATAATTCCTATAAGGTTAATATTTATCAAAATTTGATCATTGTTTTTATAATACTCTTAATTTAAATTGTTTATTAGGTGGGTGATAACGGAGCAGGTAAAACAACACTATTGAAAATCATTATGGGAATTTTAAATCCTACAGCTGGTGTTAGAAATGTACATCGAAGTTTAAAGTTTGGTTACTTCAGTCAGCATCATGTTGACCAACTCGAAATGAACCTTTCTTCTGTTGAACTATTACAATCTTCTTTTCCAGGTTTATTATTATTTGGACAAGATGAGAATATTTTTATATTTAATTAATAATTAAATTTGTTACTAGGTAAATCCATTGAAGAATATAGACGTCAATTAGGAGGCTTTGGTATATCAGGTGATTTGGCATTACAAAGTGTTGGTAGTTTATCTGGAGGCCAAAAATCGAGAGTAGCTTTTGCAAGGATGTGCATGTCTAATCCTAATTTTCTAGTACTTGACGAACCTACCAATCATTTAGATATTGAAACAATTGAAGCTTTAGGCAAAGCTATACAAAAATATACAGTAAGTTTGCAAATTATTCATTTTATGATTAATTAAATATTTTTTATTTATACTTTATATAATATAATAAGATATTGTGTAATTTCTTTAATTCAGTTGTTCTATAGAGAGACATATTGAATAATCCAACCCTCTAGAAACCTGAAGTTGATGATTGTTTGAATTCTTATGAAACTTTTCTTACTGATTACATTTGTTGATAATTTGTGAATGTGTAGAACATTCCATTATTTTAACAGCAGTAGATTGATCAATCCAATCACTATAAATGCCATGAATCATCTTAGTATTTTAATTCCCAATTACAAAAATATCAATCATTATTTTGTTAATCATAGGTTAACTAAGTCAAGTAGGTGTAGTAGACCCCATATAATTTATGCACTTTTTCCTTAATTTAAGATTTAAATATAAATACACTCATTTTAAATTTTTAAAATTGGAAAATTAAGTATGAATAATGTCTTAACTATTAAAATCAAATTATTAAATTAATTCTAATCACAAAATAACCTTAATTTAAATAAAAAATCAAGATAACAATTTTTTTTTTCAGTT